ATCATTTTCTGATATCAAAAAATCAAATTTATGATATCAGAAAATCATTTTCTGATATCAAAAAAGAATGAAGAATTTTTGATATCAATAAATACATTTTCTGATATCAAAAAATAGATTTTGTGATATCAGAAAATAAACAAGATTTTCTGATATCGGAGTTTGAATTTCTGATATCAGAAAATGATTTTTTGATATCAGGAATTCGATTCTTTGATATCAGAAAATGATTTTCTGATATCAAATAATGACAAGTATTTTCTGATATCAAAAACTCGATTTTTTGATATCAGAAAATAAGATCCAAATAAAATTATGATCGACTTAATGAATGCTCCCTGTGATGCAACACTCAGCTTCCCGCCACAAAGTTCGATGTCGTTTACCTTTGAGTATGTTTTAAAGAAGGCTAAAATATATTTTTGAATTATTATGGCAAATTCATTGTTTTCTTCAATGGTTGGGACTGCTTTAAATGCCCTCAGAAGTGAACTGAATAACGCAAACGATATCGATGATGAAGCTGAAGAGGTGCCGGCAGTAAGAACAGAGGAAAACGGCGTCGGCGGTGAAGCACTGTACAGACGTACAGTGAGTGCCTTCAACCAACGCCAATCAGGTAAATTAAATGATATATTATTATTAGCCTATTCATGAGGTATATATGTATGATAAAAAAAAAATTCCAGACTCTCATACACGCCCGCCCATGCTTTTGATTATTCTGATCGGGGTCGTTATTCAACTAGCCATAAATTTCAAACATTTTTCCCTCAAGCTGTCAATTGAGGGTTTTGTATTAGTCTTAATCTAAACACAAGGTATGTTATAAGTAAGTAAGTAATATTTTATTATAGTGATTTGTGCTTATACCGAGATTCCTTCGACTCTAACCCCCGCTTTTATAAGAGAGATATGACATTAGGGGTTAGAGTCAGAGGAAACTCGGATTACAGACCTAGAAGTCACTTTTAGCAATATTTGTACATTTTAAATGTTGTTTTTTTTTATATTTTACAATTTTATGTGGAAAAACAACATTACATGCGTGTGGTTTTTCTTTGTCCTATATTATTGGATTAATAAATGAAATTCAAAATTAGATGTGGGAATTATAGTGGTAATATTTAATTAAAACATTAAATTTGTTATTATCAAAGACCTCTGGTTCCGGAAGATGGTTGAGACTTCATGGTATAAGAGATTTTATAGAAACCCATTAGTACCACCTAGGGTGCGTTCAACGACATAGCTGCTTCATAGCCGTTACGTCGAGCTACGCTGTAAATTTAAATACATATTTTCGCCTGAAATAAACTTTATTTGATCCAGTTATAAGTTTTTGCTGACATATCTTTATTTGAAATCTAAAATTGCTGAAATTTATGTACTTTTCATATTAAAGGAAACACCAGTTCAAAGAGAAAAAGAGGAAGACCCTCCAGACGAGTTCATATTGATTTCTATCTTTTGCATGACGAAGTGGACGTTCTTCCAGCCCCAGTGGAACAAAAGGGAGCTGGAAAGAATTGGACTTGGTAGGCAAACTGAATAGACGAAAAAATGTTTGGTTAAATTTTGTAAAGTCCAAAAAGAAAAAAAAACACTAAAGACATAAAAATGATAAAAGGGGGCAAGTGGAAATCTTTCCAACTAAAAAATTTGACCTTTAAAGGTTTTTCAAGGTAATGATTACTGAGAAAATCGGTAACTCTAAAATAGGGCAATTAAAACACCTGAAATAAGCAAGTTAGCTTCATACATATATACATGTATCTTTAAAAATAGAATACTTGTATGACAGAAGGCATTTTATTTTTTTATATAAGTATACTCATTAAAAAATTTTTTCCAGGAAATCCAAAGAACTCATCAAAATATATTTCGAGGTCTCTGTCTCTTGCTCAACTCAAAAACCATATTTGTCAGCAATATCCAAGTAAGTTTATATTGTGTAAAATTGTTTAAAGATGATATCTGCTGATAATTTTTTTTCAATGTTAACATTTTGTTTTCAGAGCTTGAACCATCAAGACTTATTCCCAATACAATGGTTGTCATTATGGATTTTTATTTTACAAGAACAATGTGATATTCTGATTTATAAATTTGCCACTTCATTATGTTTTTATGCGACTAGCCGTTTTTAGCTCACCTGGGCCAAAGGCTCAAGTGAGATTTTCTGATCACATTTTGTTCGCTGTCCGTCTAGCTGTCCGTCTGTCTGTCTGTCTCTCTGTAAACTTTTCACATTTTCTATTTTTTTCAAGAACCACTGGGCCAATTTCAACCAAACTTGCCACAAAGCATCCTTGGTTGAAGGGAAACAGTCTATAAAAATCATCTTCTCAAGAATAGCAAAGCCATGATTGGTCATGGGACTACTTTTCAATAATAAACCAATTTCTGCTTTTTCCTAGCCATAGTGCTCAGGTGAGCCATCCAATAATACCAAGGTCAATGACCCTGTGACCTTGACTGTGACCTATGTGTAAAAAATAGCTTATTTGATCTTTAACCACAACTTTTGAACCATAGAAGATAAAGACTTCATAATTGGTATGCATACTCTTCTAATCAAGTTCTTTTAAATGAGTAAAACAACACCAAGCCCAATGACCTTGACTGTGACTTTTTGCAAAAAATAGCTTTCTTGAATCTTAACCATAACTTAGTTTTGAACCATGAAAGATTAAAACCTTGTCTTTGGTATGCATACTTCACTAATCAAGTTCTTTCAAATTATATCAATGACAAGGTCAATGATTTTGTGACCTTGACATTGACATACTCGCTAAAGACTTTTTTTCAAACTTTGTTGTCACAGAGTGCACGTACAGTGTTTCACAAACAACACATCTTGTTTATTTATAGTTTGGTTACCGATCCGCTAACCAGATTTTTTTTTTTTTGACTTGTAGGAAAATAACATTTTTCAAATTTTTTTCTGTACAGACGGACATAAATTAAAAAGAAATCAGATGACTGCAAACTAAAAAATATTGAAATGAACACTAAAAAATAGGTTTTATAATTGATAGTGTTTGGAATACACATTTGACTCCACTGAGGAGGAAAGTCTAACACTGTCTAACGGTAGTTTGTCACTTTGTGAATCATATTTAAGTGCATATCTACAGGGTGGTGACAAAAGTGAGTAAATTGAGGGCCATTTTGAATACTGATTGTAAACAAATCAAGCTAATTAAAAACCTACTTAATTACCTTTCTGTTGAGTTGTGTTTTGACTAGGGATGTCAACGAATATTCGAGTACTCGACTATCGTTCGATCATACCGACTATCGACTAAAATTTCTTTAGTCGGTTATTCGTTAAAAATGTGTTTCAAGGCAATTTATATATTTGCCCGTTTCATTTATTTACAGATCAATATTTTCATATGTAAAATTAAGGGTATGGTATAACTGTTCAAAGGAAATTATTTGTACGTCGATGTATGTTCGGCAAACATGTCTATTCAGAAAGAATATTAATTTCTAGTAAACCGCTATTACAAAATCGTAAATACATGTAAATCGGGGTCAGTTAATATGAGAGTATTTAAACCATGTTTTCTTTTTCTGATATTAATGTCATACAATCATTGATTGTTTGCACAAAATTTCATAATTTAAATTTATCCCAAGCTCTCGCTTTCTCTTTGTTTTTATAAGAGACGCGCTTTAATTGTTTACCTGTCAAAGATCATTGACGGACACTTAATAATTGGCTTCAATTATGGGGTACATGTACTACCGTTATGTAAAGAAAGAACAAATATGGGCATTTGATATCCTGCATTTAGATAAAACGTGCAGCTAATATGTTAATTTTTAAAATAAATACATTGGATACATATTGATGTACAGTTTTTATTGCACTAGAAATTCGTTGTACTAGTATAATGGGAATAGCGTAGGTTGAATATTGTAAACTTGTCTGTAAAAGACAAACAGTGAAACTGGTACGAAAAAATAATTAAAATTAAACGAATATTCGACTATCGTTCGACTAAAGCATCCGACTATTCGACTAAGCTGTCCGAGTAAAATTGACATCCCTAGTTTTGACTTAATATTTTGTTATATGGCCTTTTGATCTGATAAACTGAAGTCGTCGAGAAATCGTGGAAAATAAGTTCTGTATGTACATTAAAGGGATTGAAAGCCAGGCATGCTGAAGTACTGCTTTCAGATCATCAAATGTGTCAATATTCATCATGTCTTTTTACTTGATTTTTTAAGATGAGCCAAATATTTTCAATATTATTTATATCAGGAGATTGTGACAGCAATGGTATGGTTGGAATGTTGTTGTTTTCTTTCCAGGCTTTAGCTACATGTAGTAATTGAAGCATTTGGCTATGACTGGCCATGGGTTCTCATCTAACACATTAATGTATTTCTCACTATCTATATTTCCATCTACAAAAGTTAATTATAAGTAATACAACCCCACACCATTACTTTCAAGTTCCTGCCAGTGTGACGCTTTATAGGTGGCCAATGCACTCTGGGAGGTACTTCTCCCCTTTTGTTCTCCATACTTTAACAACTGCACAACCACTCACAGTTATGGCCATTTCATCACTGAATATGATCTTATTCCATTTTGGGCTACTGTCTGACTCCCAACTTAGTTTTCTTATATCATCAGTTCTGTCTTGATACCGCCTCAGAAACCTACATATTGTTGCTAGACTTATTGTCAATACTTTAGATGTTTCACTTTGTTTTAAACCACAGTCAATTAACTCCAAAAAATTGTTTTGTCTCCTCTCAGACCTCTGTCATTTCCTGTCGTTTGGTATCCATTGTAAACTAATGGCGGCCTTTCGGCAGTCGCCCTTTTCCTTCAGACGCTTGAAGCCATGTGAGGTGGTCCGATTGATAGAAACAGACACTGGTCGTACCAAAATTATTCTTATAAATGACAACAACTGTTGAAGCTCTGTATCAGTGTATTGAATACTTTATTTGCATCAGCACAGAATTAAAAATGGCGGAACATTTACTCACTTTTGTCACCAACCTGGAATACTAAATAAAAATTTAACAAAACTTGTGACCAAATTAATTTTATCTTAACTAGGCTACTGTATCTAGGCCTAATACATACCTGAAACATTTTCCCGAGGTGCAGAAAATGCATTTTCCTGTTGTGATGTTCGTTGATTTTCAATTTTCATTTCAATCTGGTCAATTAACGCGGAGATTGTGGAGTCAATGTCACGTTTATTGTTTTCTTCTAGATTCACAAGATTCAGGCAACGTTTAAGGATTTGTCTCTAGATCTGTCAAGACAATGTTACAATCAACATCGCCATTTTCAAAGCAACGGCTAGCACTCAAGATGGTTTTGTCCAATGCTCCTAAGAATGTCAGCAGTTCCATTATCAGCCATTTTGTAATCAAATATATTTTTCAGTTACCGCCAAGCTGCGGAAACAAAACGTTGCCCGAATTTAAAAATGTCCATAATATCTAGAACACTTATAAAATTCTTTCATAAAAAATATTTCTTTAAATAATAAATTAACAAATTTTAATGGAAAACAAATCTGGCATTGAAGTTCGGGATTTTAGAATTACAGTTCAAGGGAGTATTCATTATTTACATGAACATTCTTCGCCATTTTATTTATTTTCTGGATACTCAGAAAATATATTTTGTGATATCAAGAAATCATTTTGAATTTTTGATATCACAAAATCATTTTGTGATATCAGAAATTCGAATTTTTGATATCAAAAAATCATTTTGTGATATCAAAAAATCTGAATTCTGATATCAGAAAATGACTTATATTTTTTGATATCAAGAATTTGGAGAATTTTTGATATCAAAAATTACATTTTTTGATATCATAAAATCCCCAAGATTTTTTGATATCAAAAAATGATTAATTGATATCAGAAATTAGAATTCTTGATATCAAAAAATGATTTTGTGATATCAAATATTCTAATTTTTGATATCACAAAATCTTGATTATTTTCTGATATCAAAAAATATATTTTCTGATATCAGAAAATGATTTTTTGATATCAAGAATTCGAATTTGTGATACACAAATGAATTTTTGATATCAGAAAATACATTAAAAATATTAAAACGGCGCCTCATAGTTCTATGGGGGTTTCATATATCACGTGTGTATTCGTTCAAGCAAGACCTTTCTTGGGTATGAACAATTATTATACTTAAAGCGGATCTCTCACACCTGAATTTTTGTGATGTTTATAAATTTTTGACAGTTTTTCAATTTTTTTCAATTTCTTTTTTTCATTGTTTTTTACCCTTTGATATTATATATCTTTCAGATATTGAAGAGGATCCAACCTGCTATTCTCAAGAAAATGCTGTTTTAGTTTTTCTTTTGTCTATTTTTGTAAATTTAAATAAAAATTATGTTGATTTTATTTTTGCACAGAGTTAAACTCTGTGCTACATTCTGCATCATCACATACTATCCCCACGGCAAAGTACAAACCCTTCTTGAGGCCAGAGTGGACTCAAAAAGTAAAAGAGCTACACGACACAGAGCGCCAAATGCGAAGGATGTGGATAAATGAAGGTCGCCCTCGAGGAATGACACACGACTCTTACAAAAAATACAAACATGCGAAACGAAACTTCCGGAACGAACTCAACGACGAACATGATCGTTACATGTCAAGTGTTTTTAAGGATATAGATGAATCATCAGAGTGCGATGTTCGCCTTTTCTGGAAGTTAATCAGACGACTGAAACCACGTTCTTCTCGCACTTACCCTGTTATTGAATACAATGACGAACAGTTTGACGACCCTCCTGGCGTATCTCTCGCATTTGCAAAGCATTTCTCAGATATTTATAATGCCAAAGAAAATGCAAATTATTTTTCAGACTTTCTCACTTCAATTGAAAACCATTTTAGCGAACTCGAACGCATATCGAGATGAACAAATGATAGTTTCTCAGGAGGTCCCGCGACCGTTACGGAAATACAGACATTATTCGTAATCTCAAGCGCAGAAAAGCTCCTGGGGCCCGTTTCATCAAAAGTCGTAGATTTAAGCCTTAACTTAGGCGTACTTCCGGGGCTTACGCCAAGATTTAGTCGGGCGTAATTTGCGTTTCACCAACTGGCGTAAGTCTAGTCGTAAAAGATACGCTTAGTCGCAGGACTAAGTCCTTGACAACGCAGCATTGCGCAGGCGCAAAAACATAAACATTGTCCACTGTGTTCAAACATATATGAAGTATTGTAGTACGTCAAAGTACAGAATAACACAAATTATAGATTAATGAACACTTGCACTGATTGAAACATGCATGGATTGATAGGGTAATGTAGGAGATATGCATCTTATATAAGAAATCAATTTTAGTTTTTTACAATATTTCAATGATAAAAGTCATAAATTGAAAGTAAGAAAATGATTGTACACGTGCATGTATTTCTGAATTAAGCTAAACTATTTATATTGGAATTTTAATTACAGCCCCACCCCCCTTTCCGAAATTGAAACAGGTTAATGCCTTCGCCTTTAATAATAAATTTCATAATTCGATACATCCGACTCTACTGAAAAAATACTTGTAATTAAGGTAATTCCACCCTCCTATGATGTCATAGGTTTTTGAAAAAACTGTAATTAGTTTAAATTCATACCAAATACAACAATATCTCCTGGAAGAATGCTTTACAATAGGTGTAATGATAAATATTGTTAAGTTAAACAATTTTAAAAATGCATATTTCTATATTTAATCAATTATTCAATCTTTGAAAAATGTTGACAAGGGCAATAACTCCTTCTAAGGTCTCTTCATTTAGGCATTTGCTTTATTGTAAAATAGTTTTCCTGATATTCACAATTCAAAAGTATCTTTTAAGTAGGAAGTATGTAGGAACACTCAGTATCAGAATTATGCATTTTAACCAGTTTTTACATATTTTTCATAATACTGTTTACAAAAAATGTGCGATGTTTTTATGTTGACATACACTTCTGTTTATTTATGTTTCGCATCTTAAATAATATGGTGACCTATACATTTTTTGCAATAATTGGAATGTTTAAAGTATATTAAATGAAAATAAATACAGTTTTTGTACTTTGAACCTATAAAATTGTGAGGGTGGAAACACCTTAAGTTTGAGATATTTAAAAAAAAATTTTAAATTATTTTTATAAGAAATGTATACTTGCAAGCAAAAATAATGTATAAAAATGCAAACAGTTTACATATGTAAACATATTGATAAGATAGATTTTTTAAAAATCAATTTATAAAGAAATGTATACTTGCAAGCAAAAATAATGTATAAAAAGCATATGTACACTATATGCAAGCAAAAATAATGTATAAAAAGTTTACATATGTACACATATTGAACAAGAAATAAATTATACATAAATAAGGTACACGTAAGACAATCCTTTCTAAGTCTATTAATTTTTTGTCAATTCAGATGATTCATTATAATATTGTACGTGTTCATTAATTTAAATGGCACAAAGGTTCATAAAACAATTTCGAATACTAGACTGCAGGTTCATAAGATTATAGACAAAACAATCTTTACTATCTGCAGCTTATAATTTAAATGTACCGTTTTTCAAGTACGCAGAGAGAGAGAGAGAGAGAGAGAGAGAGGAAGAAAGAGATTTAAAAAGACTACAAAGGTATTATTACATAAATTCTCTGCATTCTTGTGTGATCTCTGGTTTTAAAATTAAGTTACAGTTAGTCTTTATTTTGTTTTTCATTAAAATGTAAGTTATGCATGAAATAAAAAAAAGTATATAAGTTATCCTATACGTGCTTTATATGCGCTCAGATTATCTGAGAGGATAATTTACTCTATCAGATGAAATCGTGAAAAAATAAAGATAGATGTCTTCTGCATCAATGATTGTCTGAGAAAAAAAATATTTTAAGGAATAATTCATTTCTTGAACTTAACTGTGTAATTATCACCGTATTACATCGATATAATAAAAGTAATATTTTCCCCATTTAAAAATCTCCTATTGTCTAATAGAGGAGACTTTAGGTTGCGTTTTAGATTCACCGGCGACTTCACTTGTCCCAGATACCTAGAAAAATAATTCTAAGTTATTGTAAGTTAAATGTAGAAAATTACTAGAGAAAGGATGATTATGCTTTTGAAACCGATGTTTTTTTCCCAAAAAATATTTTGGGGAAAAGATTATTTTTAATCAAAATAGACAATTTTAATGAATCTCCCTTACGAATATGATGACAGTATCCATGTTTTGCTATGTAAAACCCAAAATATGAGTCCGACCAAAGAGTAAATTAAGTCACAGTGGCAATATTTAATAAAGATTCTGTGAAGTGTCGCATTAAATTTCATTCAGTGGTAAGAGAGGAGTGGTGGATAAGAGATGGGCACCCAAAAGCGCAATAGACTGGCAGACTGACATGAAGCGGGAGTATAAATTTAAGGAATCACTCTCTAGTTAGCATGGTATCCAGAGACATCAACAATAGTGCGAAACATGGGATAATTTATGCATATAACGGGCGAAGATTTGCATGCATCTTAGGCCCCCTTAGCTCCTGACTTATTGACCTGCCTAATTTACATTCCGGCAGAATTATCAGGAAATTATAATTAACTCCGCTAACTTTCAAAGAGTATATCACAGTTCAGAGAAAAATTAGAAATGGAAATATATAGTTATATGTGTAGTCACTGTACTCGATTTACAATACCTTATACATACAATACAACAATTAAATGTGTGTGTGAATGCTTTGTCATAACGAAAGAAATGGTGGTCGAAGAAATCTCTAATAAGACAATCTTTTCTTCTGAGAAGAATTCTATTAAAATATGAAGCACATTATTACTTCAATCAACCCAAATGGTTGTAAACCCCCCCCCCCACACACACACTCACTTCATAGTATGTATAATTAAATAATAATGCAGTGTCTGTATTTAAAAAGAATTCTTAGAGCCGTACTTTTTCTTTGGAACTCGCTAAATTCTTTTAAAATCAGTAAAATTGCTTAATTTTAACTTTACGCCCGAACTTACGCCTACCCTTGAGTAGACGTAAAAGTTTGGCCTAAATTTAGTCAGGCGTAACGATACACTCTTTAATGAAACACAAATCTTCGTGCTAGTCCCGGCTTTACGCCGGCGTAGCGCTACGACTGGGCGTACGACCTTTGATGAAACGGGCCCCTGGTCTTGATCTCACTCAAAACGAACATCTAATCCATGGCGGTAAACAAGTAGCTAGATGCATTGCTCAACTCTTCAATGCAATTCTGGAAATCGGATATGTTCCATCCTGTTGGAAAAAAGACCTGATTGTTCCCATCTATAAAGGCAACAACAAACCTCGAAAATCTCCCGATAGTTAACGACCAATTGCTCTCCTCCCCTGTGCGTTTAAAGTTTTTGAAAAATTTATCCTCACCAGAATACAGTCAAACTTATTGCCATCAATATCTTTCCCATGCTCTCAGCAACAAGGCTTCCAAGAAAAACTTGGGTGTCTAACAGCTTCCTTTAATCTACAAGAAACTATCCATCACAATATTGAACAAAACAGCTCTGTTTATGTTGCCTTTTTAGATACACAGAAAGCTTTCGATACGGTATGGAGGCACGGTCTCATGTACAAACTTCACGAACTCGGGATATCGGGCACAATGTGGTCTTTGATAAATGACTGTCACTCCAATACACAATTTTCCGTTGTAGTAAACCAGACCAGCTCCCAGTGGTTTCGAGTATCCCAAGGCGTTCGACAGGGAGGCGTACTTTCGACTTTCTTTTACCTCGTATTCATTGATGGTTTACTATCAGAAATTCAAAATCTTAGCAAGAACATAGGAGTCTTCAATGTCCAAAGCTCAAACCCAACCCTAGCAGATGACATCTGTGTCATTGCTCTCACACCTCTTGAGCTTCAACGAGTTCTGGACAACATATTCCAATACTCAACACGCTGGCGATTTACATTTAACACCGCAAAATCCAACGTTCTCCTCTTCCACCAAAAGCGCTCAAATCCTGCTGACACTTTAAGCTTGCGTCTCGGCAATGAACGCATTGAATTTTCCAACTCGTACAATCATCTTGGAATTCTTTTAAGCTCCAACTTTGATCCTGGCGAAAGAACATCAAACGCTTGCAGGAAAGGACCGCAATCATATTTCGCACTTAAAGTTTCCGAACAGCTCAACCCCGTAACAGTGGCCAAAATGTACAAAAAAGTTGTCTTACCATCAGTTCTCTACGGAAGCGAATTATGGTGCGATCTTCGGACAAAAGACATAAGAACACTCAACGCATTCCAACATTTCGTTGTTAAACATGTTATGGGACTGCCCCATCATACAAGATCAGACATGTGCGAAAGCCTTCTAGGTCTCCTTCCAATTACAGCAGAGATTGACATTAAGAAGTTGCAATTCTTTGGTCGTCTCTGTGAACTCAACACAACTTACCTCACCAAGCGTATATTCATCATCCGTCTGTTCTCCTACCTCTTCAACGCTAGTACTAAACATTATGTGTTTATTCAGGACATAATTCCCATACTCCTGAAATACAACTTATACCACGTGTTAACTGGTTATCTCGAAAGTGGATTCTTCCCCAACAAGTCTCAATGGAAATCTTCAGTGAAATCTTCTGTCATCTCCTTTCACTCTGCCTCTAGGCGCAACCGAATGCTTGTCGACCCCGACTTTGCTAGATTCAACATTCTCTGCGCAAGCAAACCACCTGAGCATCTGTGGATCATCCCAAAAAATATCCAAGATATTGTTTTGTGCAAATTCATTGTCAAGCTATGGACCCTTTTAGATGTACTGCCGGAAACCTGCTGCCTCTGCGCAAAATCTTTCACAAATGTGTTCGAACACATTACTACGGCTTGCCCCGAAACATCTCTGTTTCGCGACGCCTGGTGGGAAACTGTGATTGAGGACTACGACATCTCACTAGGCGCCGAACTCTCAGGACTCCCTGGAAATGAATTATACTTGTTTCTGCTCGGTGCCAGATGTCTAACACCCTTACTTTCCGACCGTGATGCACCAGAACTCCATATTCTTAACTTTCGCTTTATAAGAGATGTGGCTGCGGTGTATCAAAGAAAGATAACATACTCGTAAATGGATACTTCTACCCCTGTGCACTAACTTTATTTTTTGCAAACATTTAAGACAATTTCTTCTTTTTCAAATTTAATTTTGCATTAATGTAAATATAAAGCACTTATATGATGTTATATTTTGTTCTTTCACTATGTATTCTTATATGTTCATGAATCTCCAATGGGAGGAAATAAAGAAAGAATGAATGATCCCCCCACCTCCCCCCGAACTGCGCATGGCTTACTTTTTCCCTAAGCGGGGGACACAAATTCTCTGAATTAGCTTGTTCTATGGGGTTTCATATATCACGTGTGTATTCGTTCAAGCAAGACCTTTCTTGGGTATGAACAATTATTATACTTAAAGCGGATCTCTCACACCTGAATTTTTGTGATGTTTATAAATTTTTGACAGTTTTTCAATTTTTTTCAATTTCTTTTTTTCATTGTTTTTACCCTTTGATATTATATATCTTTTCAGATATTGAAGAGGATCCAACCAGCTATTCTCAAGAAAATGCTGTTTTAGTTTTTCTTTTGTCTATTTTTGTAAATTTAAATAAAAATTATGTTGATTTTATTTTTAACTTTGTTGGTTATTATTTCAATATTTTATAACACTTAACTTTTAAGAGAAATTTAAAGCAATGGGCATTTAAAAAAATTGATATGAGGGATTTTAACAAAATAAATAAAATATTTCAAATATTTCTAAAAAATAAATTGAAATACTTTGGAACCATATTTTATGGGATATGGGGCCTATTATTAGAAACAAATGCATGCAACAAAAATCAGTTATACTTTACAGGTGTAGAGATCCTCCTTAAAATGTTTCCTGTATAAAGTTAAGAAGGTAAATTGACTACTTTTTCATAGTCAGAAAATTTCCACGCATAGGAAGCTAAACCCCGGGGTATAGTTTTTGCTATCCACCCCTCAGAAGATTTTCATGCAATTTTTGCCGCCAATTTTGATTTCAAGCGATAAATCAATAGACTCAGAAATTATAATATACATCAGTATAATAAAACGCTTATCCACTGGTTATGGGTGGGGTAGCTCTTTCATCTAGGCCTTGACAGGAACTATTCCCCTCGGGCAAGCCCTCAGGGAATATAGTTCCTGTCGCGGGTTGCATAAAAGAGCTATCCCACTCACAAACAGTGGATAACCCTTGGACATTGACTTGAAATTTGACCTTCTTTTGAAATATCCTAACCTTGTCCATAACTTTGAATGCTTGGTGTTAGGGCTTTCATTTTTCAAAATGTATGGATGTGACATGACCTCCCCCATATGTCCCTGGGCATGAATAATTTTGACCATTTGTTTTTGATGTTTGGATTACGGTAACCGTATTATGTTTCATGTTAACACGTAGGGACAGATTATGCAACAAAACGGTTGGTACTACGACAATTTCTTTTTCATCAGGTACATGTATACAGAAAAAACCTATTGATATTACAGGTAAATCTGTTAACCGATTTAGAGGACAAGGGCACAATCTTTACTTATGGTTAGCATATTTTTTTTCACTAAAAATATTTTATTTCCATGTTTAAAGGTTAATTTCCTTATTTAAAATGTTGAATTTCCGATTGATTTAAATAAAGAAATAAATGTTATAATTTGAAAGCCTTACTCTTCCTGCCTTAAAGGACCATGGTTCTTAATGATGGTACATGTACATTGATAGTCGTGACTGATCAGGTATTTACATGTATGTTTTATTTTTACGTCTTAGATCGCGATCTTTGATCATTGTAACGTGGAATGAGCCAGGCTTTCCTTTTCAAATCAAAACAAGAATTTCTTCAAAGAAAACAAGAATTTATTTACACACACAAAAAAAATAGAAATAAAGAAAAGACAATTAACAAATAAATCACGCAATCACACACACACACACACACACACACTCACTCAAATGATCGTAACCCAAAAAAAATGTTATTTACAATGATAAAAAAAATGATCAAAAGATGTTTAAACAGCTGTATCAACTATCAACACGTGTTCTCAAAAACTCAAACCAATTTAGAACTCAATTTCAATCATTACTAGTATTGTCCATCCATACGACAGTCTCAATCAAGTCCAACACTGTCCTTAAACCTCCCAAGCCTCCGGGGCTGTAGTCCCAGACTGTGGTTGGGATCAATGTTCACAAGTACTGGAGATTCCCGCGACTAAGTCGTAGACATCATCATCGACGTCGTCTTCATCAACATCATTGTCATCATCGTCATCGACACCATCATCAACATCACCGACATCATCGTCGTCATCATCAGATCATCGACATCATCGTCGTCATCATGACATCAGTTACCACGAACACCTCAGCATGGTGCTAAAATATTAACTTTCCTTTATCAGTAAAATAATTATGTACTCTACATATGGCAATACTATAATATAATTATACTGGCTTTAATTAATAAGCATATAATTATCTTGAGTTCAATATAACATAACACTTAAATGCTTTCAATATCTTCAGTTTGTTTACAGTTGACATAGATACAAAATGGCTGACAATACTTCCGGTAACTTACTTCCGCTCAGACATTTAAATGAAAAAGTAATACGCATGTACAGCGAACAAAAATACAATAAAATAAAGAAACAGGCTGTTCTTTAAATGTATAGAATTACACTAACAGCGATAAAACTTCTGACGAGAAAACCTATTCAAACACTCTCGCTAACGTCACACCTGAACGCACACACAGGTAAGTCATTGATGACTGCCTGCCAAGGTGAATTAAAGCTGAACACGATTCGTAAAAGTATTGTGTCCGCCATTTTAGTTCCCGAGACTCGCTACTCTGCAGACCCCTATAAATAGGGCAAGAATTGGAGACTGTTCAGTTTAATCAGTCGACACCGAAGAAGACGGACATATACTATACAGGACTTGGTAGCGAGAATAATAACGTAATACTTCGTCTAATGCAGGGAAGTAAGATACCAAATAAATTTACAATTATAGGTACATAATTCTGTTCAGTATACAAACAACATAGATAAACGTAAATGCAATAAAATATAAACAAAGGTAATGCAAGATAGCCAGCACGAACACGGGTCGCCATTCCACGCCGATACCTGTGACAATAAAGCAGTCAGGTGTAACGAATACGACCAGTATACCCTAGTATTGTTGTATTGTAGATAATGCTATCAAAAATGGCGTATGCCTATTTACGAGTCGTGTTCAGCTTTAATGTAACGAATTTTAAAAGTACATTTAACATAACTAAAAAGTACTTGCAAAATATACTTACCACGGTCTGTTTTCCGTGCAGAAATATACTAAAATGTTGCAGTAGACTTGCTGTAAGTCATAGGCACAAGCTGGTGCAAAACTTAACCAATCTGTCCTGACCCTTTACATCGTGTCTTACACGGTGGACAGTTCTGCCGGGAATACCTAGCTATTGTTACCTGTCCTGTCGGCCAGAATTCTGCAAGGAATTTTGGGTGCTTGACCAAAGAGGTGCTCGAAGGGCGAAACTTTATACAAAACAAGGGGTACCCTATAGGTTATATTAGTGATTGTTACAATCATGATTCAAGACCTTGAAGCAGTTGTCAAATGGGTACATTATCCGTGGAATAACCTGAATAGGGGGTGCTACACGGAAGTAGCTTATACATCTTTTCTTTTATTGTGAAAAAAAGTATTTTCTTTTATTGTTAAGTAACCAAGACAGATACGGACCATGCCCTATATTTCGTTTTCCATGGTTTAAATATAGCCTTTCCTAAATTTCCAGGGCTTGCCTTACGTATACCGCAACAGTTCTCTATCCAGTTTCCTTCGTGACGGCCTGAGGACTTGGTTATAGGCGAACAACAAGGCTAAACATCATTAAATTTTCGACCATTTAAAAACTGAAAACAAAGTGACGCATTCGACATTAATCGTGACAATCAAAGAGACTAGTTCGTGTTTTTGGAGAAAAGCAACCACCTTGTAAAATGACCAATACCTGCTGCTGCATATTCCTTCTGTGTGTCCTAATAATTGTTGATTCTCAAATTCAAATAGCGAAGGTGAAAAATCAAGAACTAAAACTTAACACTCCGGATGACGGTCGCGGTGCTTCGCAGGAACGTGTGCCGGGGTTCCGTATGAAAAGATAAAAAATTTATACCGGGGTTCGTAAGTTAATTCGATTTCAATACAGTTTGATTTTCCAGTAAATGAATTTTTCAATTTTTAAAGATTGTAATATTCATAAATGATTGTAGTACTCAAAATTGTTAGTAGTTTTACATAGAATGTGTCAAAATATACATGCATGTCATATTAATAAATGTAAATTAACTGTTTAAAACTTGTTCTTTTAGATCCTTCAAGTGGCTTTACATGTATTGATATTATTAAATTTCAATATTTCGAGCAGGGATATTTTTCACAAAGAATGAATTGCAATTGAAACTAAAAGAATTAAATGCCTACACAAGCAGCACTAGTAAGAGTCCTGTATGGCAGAAAAAGTTCAGGAAACCTTACGGCTATTCCTCGCGTTTTAAAAGTACCAGTAATTATTACTATTCGGGGGATCATGACGGTGACCATTGTTGTCCTACGTAAGTAAATGTAAAAATTTCTATTCTTAGTTAATCTTTATAAAATTATCCACGAATGATTTACTCCTATAAATGTTTTACATCACTATTTTTTTTAAATAAACATTGAATTTTAAAAGTGATAAAACGGTCTTAATTATTCCGATATGAATCAAGTTCATATTTAACGTTATCATTTTCCTTTTTTTCCTTCACTTCATTAAAGGCTAATTTTGAATTATAGGTACCGTGATTTGATTTTCCCTCCTGTCTTATATAACACGAGAGGAGTACTTCGTTACATTGTTCATTTCCCCGACAGTCAACCAGACCCCATGTATCAATTCATACCGAGGGGGAGATGTGTGTAAGTAGTCCATCTAGGTTTCTCACGCACCTGTTCAATGTGCGAAAAAAGCATTCAAATCTTACAGTATTAAAAAAAAACTAAATTTTATTCCTTCGCTCTTTGAGACGAGTGTCAATTTTGATATTTGAACTTTTTAAGTTTATTTCAGAAATATAGATTAATGAAAAGGTATTTACCCTTACGTGTATTTGGCAAAGACTAAAGAGTGGTTTGTGCAATGAAGATTAAAGGGCCGTTTTAATCCAATATTGAATTTTTTTTATTACACCGTCTTCTTACGATTTCTTCTTTCTTTTACTTTTCTTTTGCTTTCAAGTAAGTCATATTTCAATTTCAAATATATGACCCTTTTCACAATTATTAAATCATCCAAAACATACATGTACTTAAATTTTGTTTAAATACATCGTTAATAACTCGTTTGAGTCTTTTATCTCTCTTTACTCAATTTTTGTCTTCTTTGCAAATTCACACACATTCACCATCTTTTATAAAATAAATTGTATTTGCTTAAAATGATAAATATTTTCTTGAGATCGAGAGTCTTTGTTAAGATTTTATTTTAAAAAGAAAATTTGAAAACAGACTTTTTTATAGTACAAAAATGTTTGCTTAAATAAACGATTTGATCCATGTCCTTTGTAAACGACACAGAAGAATTGGCCGTTTACAAAAATTCTTTGCTTTCGCTGAAAAAAAAAGTTTTTCCGTCATGCTTGTACGAGGGTTGATCCAAAAGTAATGTCACAGTGTCCATATCTTTTATATTTGGCGTCATATTATCAAATATTATATACCAAAAGATGCACAAATATAAATTTAATTAAACTTTAATTTTTCATTCAATAATGTTTAACTGAATTTATTTTATAGATGTTAAAAACATATAAGATAGGGGGTGTCGCCGCGTCAAAACCGAACGTGACAAATTAAAGTGTACTTTTTTAAGTAGAAAAAAGACCAACACTTAAAAAGCATCTTTTAAAAGCGCCTAAACGCAAAATACTTTAAAAGACAAAAATTTACATCATTTTCTAGTCTTAAATTGAAAATTATATGACATCAATGACAATTTAAAAAAAAAAAAAAAAAACATCGTTGATTTATTATGGTGCATTGAAAAAAGGAAATGTCAAAATGGACAAAAAAGCCAAAACAAACTGTAATGCATTTTTGCTTCAAAATGGAGAAATCGCCAGTAGAGACAGTTACGTTGATTCACCAGAATTTCGGAGGAAAGAATGTAAATAAGAGACGTGTTTAGATGGTTTCAGCGATTTTCGGTGGGTGATGGGTCATTAAATGCTCAGCAGATGACAAGAAAACCGAAAGATGGGAGGGCGGACGGAAATGTTCAATGGTGCATGACGTTGTCAGATAGACAGACGGATAGAGCGATATGTGAAATTTTAAGTTGGTCTTTTACTACTGTTCAATGAATTTTGACAGAATTAATTATGAAAAAATGAGTGTACGATGGGAACTAAGGGTAAGAAAGTGAAATTTGTGAACGTGTTCGTGGATATCAAATCTCAAATATTTTTTAATGAAACGAAGGGAAGCGTTTAAATGTATGACGGCGCGTATCCGTCATATGACGTTATTTAGCTGCGGCGACTACCATAATCGCACGTTGTATATAATCCGATATTTTGAAAAGTATAAATCATGTTGAATTGAAATTCTCAGGTCTGATTTGAAATAAATATAGCTTTCATCATTTATAATTTTGTTGTTTTACGTCGACGGATAGCGATTTTATCGAAGTTGTGACATTACTTTTGGATCAACCCTCGTAATAACATATAGAATTTTAAAAATAGCAAAGTTGCTGTACTGGGGAGCTCAAAGTCATTAAATATAGACTTTCCATGTGTTTTCATTGCGTATTTCTAATCAGGAAGTTTTGACCATTTTTGCCTTTTTATATCTTTAGATCTGGAGGTAGCTGTAACAGGTGTCTACAGGAGAACGCCCTCCACTCCGTGCTCGTGATTGACTGGACAGCACCCCCATATTTCGAGTTTGACGATTTCTACCTAGAGAGTTATTGTTCTTGTAAAGATCGTTAATTATAAATGCAATTACTGTAGATCACTTAATTTTCGCGACACCTTATTTTCGCGAGATAATCATTGACTCTTTATTAGCGAGACAAAATTTTCATGAATTGTGGTCAGTGCTTTATATAATCTTAAGGAATTCTATTATAAGCGAGAATGAAATTTTCGCGAGCATACTGTCTCGCGTAATTACGCGAAAATAAAGTTCTCGCGAATAAAAAGTGATTTACAGTAATTGATGCACCATTTTCATTAATATTTCATCTATTGTGTGTGTATGCAGAGTTTTTGTGACGTATCGTGTGATTGTCATTAGTATACTGTAAACATCGGTCTAGGAATATATCTTATTGTTCAGCATTCTCGATTTGGCAATGACGGAGCACTTTTCAGTTTTTATCCCCATGACGTCAATCCTCCGATTCGTCAAGAGAATAACAATACCATGAGTCAAATTCTATTCACGGCATACGAAGGAAATCCCCAGTTTCTTGTGTCAACAAGCAACCAACTGAAAAAGTTGTGAAAAGACATAGAGTTAGATTACAGTCCAACTCAGATTTCTCTCAAGTTTGATTTATACCACTTGTCTGCTCGAATATATCGTTGTACGGTACTCCTGATGTTTCTCATACAAATTCACTACTGTTAATATTTTAGTGAGGAATAAAGAAATACGAGGGGTTATCAAAAAGTTCGTGGACTAGAGCCATAAAATTAAAACCGCTTTAGGCACATCAATGAATTTTAAATTATCTAGTTGGCATCATCTTTTCTATCTAGAGAATAAATCACAAATCATAAATTTTATTTTCTAATAAATTAGTAATGTTTTTGTAAGCAATGGAATGTCCAGGCGGCGCAACCTTGAACATGACGTTTTTGCGACCTATGTTTAACTGAGAAAAACTCTAAAGATATGAATATTTGACATCCAAAAATCCCGTAAATTCAGGTATGTGTCGGAACACAATTGTTCCATGAAATTCTCACTTCATTCTGGAAGTTCTTTGAAATTTTATCGTAAATTTTACATGGAATGTCCAAACAAATGTGGCCTTGAAAATGACGTCAAAAGAGGGGAGGGATTTCCTTTTCCAACATTCTTTAAAGTTTTGCCCCTGAAAAAAACTGGTATAGACCTACGAAATTGTTTAATTTGCTACATAGAAATAATGTGTGTCCAGAGTACTTGTTTTTTAATGTCAAAATAGATTCAGAGAAAACTGGGATAAACAGTTAATGTCGATTTGTAGTCAAGGTGTGAAAAATCAATCACGTTAAAAAATGACGTTGATCATGTGTCATAGATGTTGAACTACCAAAAGCAAAATATGCTGGCACAATTAAGCCAGGATCTCTCCCAATGCATAAATCCATTTGGAATATTATATTCACTGAAAGCCGCTGTTAATGACATTTTAAAGTCATGTAAACAATGCGGGTGAAAGTCCTTACTCACCTCCAGGGAATTTCATCAAAAAAGTGTTTGAGGTAGAAGAAGCGGACATTGAAAAAAATGACGTTGTCGGACGTCATAAAAATAAATGACGACAGCGCCGGATGGTCAAATGATGTCATTTTTATTTTATAATAATTTGGCAAATAATGAACACATCGGGCTAAAATTTTCAACATGTCTTTATTTTTGGTTGTTTTATGTTTCATATAAATTTTGAAAGCACAGACTACATAATCAGTAGTACTAATTTTATAGCCTCAGTCCACGAACTTTTTGATAACCCGACATAGGTTTAAATAGTAGAACATTTAATGGAACATGCTGTATATTTTTTTTTTATAAAGTAAGTGATTTTATGAAGTTAAGGAATCCAGTATCTGTTTGGTAATCCAAATTCACTTTGATGACTGGAAATGTAAAAAAAATAATTAAAACTGACTTATGATTTTGAGGAATTCTCTGCTTAGGGGAGCCATTTGCAACATATGTTGCAACCACTATTGAAATAACGACCACAATTGAAATAATTTTATCAATAGTGGTTGAGAGTGCATTTCAATAACAAACATAGGTAATAACCCCTATTGAAATACAACCACTATTGAAATAATTATTTCAAAAGTGGGTGAGAGTGCATTTCAATTACAAACATAGATAGTAGCCACTATTGAATTAAGACTACTATTGAAAAAAATATTTCAATAGTGGGTGAGATTCATTTCAATAACAAACATAGGTTGCAGCCATATTGGAATAATGTTCACTTTTGAAATAAAAGTTTCAATATGGATTAAATTATTGATTTCAATAGTGCTTTGAACAACAATGAATCCAATATATATTGAAATAATTATTTCAAATGTTGCTGAGGCGGTGTAACTTTTCTTTCAATACTGGCAGTATATCAATAGTGGTTGAAACCTATGGTTACCATATTGAAATATACTCTCTGACACCCACTATTAAATAATTATTTCAGCAGTGCTCGTATTTCAATAGTGGTTGAAACCTATGGTTATTATTGTCGTATTTCAATAGTGGTTATTACTATTTATGTTTGTTATATTGAAATGCACTCTCACCCACAATTGATATACTAGTAATTATTTTAATAGTGGTCGTATTTCAATAGTGGTTACTAATTATGTTTGCAATTGAAATGCACTCTCAACCACTAATGATATAATTATTTGAAAAGTGGTCGTATTTCAATAGTGATTACTAACTATGTTTGCTATTGAAATGCACTTTCAACGCCTATTGATATAATTATTTCAATAGTGGTCGTTATTATACCCCCCGCTTGAAAAGCGGGAGGGTATATAGTAATCGGTATTTCCGTCCGTCTGTCTGTACGTCCGTCCGTCTGTTACGCTTTGGGGTACCTATCTCTTATCCGCAACTCCTCTCATACCACTGAAGGAAATTTAATGAAACTTTCACAGAATCTTTATTATATATTGCCATTGTGACCTCCTATTTCACTTTTGTTCTGTCGTATATTTTGGATTTTCCAACGCAAAACATGGACACTGCCATTATATTCATATGGGAGGCGGGGGTATCATTTAGTGAGGTCATGGTCGTGATGTCAACACTTAACAGTATATAAAAGATTTTCTTATCAGTTTTACTATAGACAGTACACACCAGACTTGGCTCTGATCAAAATGAGGGGTTTCTGCGTCTTTGTCATCTGTGTCTTGTTTGCAGGTATGTCATGTTCATTTTTTGTTGCAGTTTATTTCACACCATTTTTACTCATCCTGTATACATGTGGAACAATCTCTCGGTAACAACCCCGTTTTTAACAAAAAGATGAATGGTTTGATTAATTGTACATATAGGTATGTAACTTCTTTCATATTTCATTTTTCTTTCGATGTTATAAAGTACTACACATGATGGTCTAGAAGAACTGTGAGAAATGAGCTTACAGAATTTAATCCCCGTAATGGAGATGATGGAGGTCATATTTTGCAGTGGGAAACACAAAATATCAAAACGTAGAATAGGATGGGCAGAATAGCACTATGTAATCAAGATTCTATCAAAGCTAGGTCGCATTATATAAAATGCCTCATTAAAGCTGACATGAACTCTTAAAAAGGCATCATTTTTCATCTTTGTACGACTTACTACATTCCTGTACGCCTTTGTCCGCCATATTTCTTCGATTCCGCCATATTTAATCGAACATTTTTGGCCACCTGTTCCTGCTATATATAGCCTTTTACAATTGTTTCACTTGAGTGATTTTCTATCCTGGCTGTCGACATGTGCACATCTCCGATAGCATAGTTTTTAGAAATCCATAAACTGACTAATACATGTTTGAAAAGTAAAAAATCAACAAAAACTAGAACTATACCGAGAATTAAATTATTTTTGAATGCATTTGCTGCAATATAGAAAATACACTTACACGGAATACATTCAAGTAGAGCAAAAATTCCATGCAGGTCAGTCGAGAAAACGCGTCAAACGCAGTGATAGAAATATTTACCTGAATACTGCTATCGTTACAGGGATGTGCACATATCGAAAGAATTATCCTATTTTACTTTTATTGAAAAATGCATCTCAGAAATCATGTAATCCATTGCTAACTCAACAGTAAAAACTGCTTGGACACACGTGGTCCATGCCGATCATTTTATTTGGTCAGGGAAAATATCAAAGGTTGAAAGCGCCGTGGGGTTGACTGAAGAAAATGCAAATAATTTTTTTTCAAGAATAAACATTACTCTTGTCTGTAAATGGTGTAAATAAAGTTTTGAAAACATGGTTTAACTTCATCAAATTTATAATAAAGCATGCATTATTACGAATCATTCACCTTTTGAAGATATGAAGATATTTTCCTGTGAAAGGGGGGGGGGGGTAATAAAACATGCATAACACTCTCATAAAAATATTTTAAGAAAAACGTCTGAAACAGATCGGATTTCTTTATGATCAAATATAATCAAATAAATACTGTGTATTGGCTTTGTTAGACCTAATATAATTTGATTTAAAGTTATTTATAATTTTATGCACAAGGAAAGAAAAAGTGAGCAAATTCACATACCCCACGCTCCCACAAAAGTCGAAGTGCTGAAATCCACAGAAAAAATAAAGGAATCGTAATCTCCTTGTAATATGCACATATATACACATTGTGTTCTAAATATCTGCAAAGTTTGACGAAATTGTGTGCAGCGGTTTATGAGGAATTGCCCTGACAAACTGCTCATCTTTATATTCAAGATATCGCCAAAATCTAAATGTAAAAGTGCGGAAATTCCCGAAAAAATAAAGATTTCGGAATTTCCTGGTAATGTGCAAATACAGACACATTGACTCCTTTAAATATCTCGAAAGTTCGACAAAACTCTGTGCATTAGTTTATAAGAAGTTGCGCTGACCAAAAAAAAGGGCTGACTGATGGGTCCAAAACATTACACCTCACGCAACTTGTTGCGAGGGGTATAATAAACGAGTTTGATTCTGTGGTACAATGATAATGAAAATAGAATTTAATGTGAATTAAATTTCTAGACATAAATAATTAATGATTACTAGAAAAAGCAGATAAAAAGAGAGAGGAAACCCCCCGTGAGGATTTCCGCATTCTACCTACAATTACCTTAAAAATTCCATTGTCTGTTGTCCAGGTTCAGCATATACATGTAAGTGTCGGAACCGGGGGTAGCTTTTTTACAAATATATACTTAGTATAGACATTGAATATTGCTGCGTAGCCCCCCCCCCCCAGTATATGTTAAAAAAGAGGAAAGTGTTGGTGTTTGGTATGGTGGCATATTTCTGCCCCCTACATACAAGATAGATTATGTTAACATGCAAGAAAATTATGTAAACATGCAAGATAATTATGTCTACATGCAAGGTAATAATGTTGACATGCAAGTTACAAATCTTGTATGCGAATCTAATTTTGATATGGTTGAAATGACGTACGTAAGCCCGTAACTGACATCGTAGATGCAAGATGCACCATAATTATGACAAGATGCGGTTTACTTATTTTAACATTCGAAATAATTATGTAGACATGCAACTTATTTATGTGAGCATGCAAGTAAATTATGTTAACATGCAAGATAACTATGTGAACATGCTACTTATTTATGTCAACATGCGACTTATGTCAACATGCGAGTTATATTTTTACATACAAGATATTTACAATGTATGTCAACATGCAAGATAATAAGTTGCATATCAACTTACATATCTTGCATGTTAACATAATTATCTTGCATGTCGACATACAAAAGTAGCATGTTGACATAATTATCTTGCATGATGGCATAAAAAAGTTGCATGTTGACATAAATAAGTCGCATCTCTACATAATTATGTTGCATCTTGCATCTAAAATGTCAGATACAGGCGTTAGTAAGTACAATTACTTATATTTAAATTATATTTTCTTATAAGATTGGTAACTTGCATGTCAACATAATTAACTTGCATGTTGACATAAATATGTTGCATGTCTACATAATTATGTTGCATGTTAACATATTTATCTTGCATATAGGGGGCAGAAATATGCCACCATAGTTTGGAGAAAAATTTTGTTATTGAAGTTCGAACCAACCTCCCCCCCCCCCCCTTTCCCCCACACGAAATAGGATATTCGTGTTTAGGAAAAGGACATTTCCCCCTTTTTTTAAGCTTGTCAGATTTAAACAATTTCTTTGCACTTAGCCCCCCCAACACACACACACACACACACACTTTCAATTTGCTTCCGACGCCAATGCGTTTGAGAAGGTATTTGAGAAAGTTCCCAATGTACCCATTTCTGTGATGTATACTTCACGTTTATTATATCTCCCGCTTGAAAAGTGGAAGGGTATATAGTAATAGTCTGTCCGTCCGTCGGTCTGCTAAGCTTTGGGGTACCCGTCTCTTATCCGCAAATCCTCTTATACCACTTAGTGAAATTATATAAAACTTTCACAGAATCTTATAGGTTTATTACATATTACCATTGTGCACCTCCTATTTTACGTTTTGATCCGACACGTATTTTGGGTTTAGCGACAACAGCAAATATGGACTTTGCCATTATAACCATATGGGAGGCGGGGTATCATTTAGTGAGCTCATTGCTCACAATACCTCTAGTTTCTCTTTCAATTTGGCCGTTTGGGTTAACTTCTCGTCCAAATTAAAATTATTATTCAATTTATGAAGTTTCGACATCCCGCCTGAAAAAAAATCCTTGATCTGTCCTAAGGCTTAATAAATGGACAGCACAAAGTGCGTAGGATCTTATACCTATTACTGCCCTAAGAGATGCATGGTTACGGAGTGAGAGAGAGAGGGAGAGAGAGAAAGAAAGAGAGAGAGAGTTAGTTCAATATACAAAAGAGTAAATAAAAATTATCCGTATTCAACCAGTGTCAAGACTCCCTACCCTAGCTTTTAAAATTATCTCCCAAATACTCCTACAGAAATTATTTTTAAATATAAAAAAAATAGCTAGACTACCAGGCAGGGATACTGAAATCTCGAAAGTCTCTCTATAACACCATAATTATAAAACATTTATACATACCTCAAAATGCACATACTTTGTGGTCGGAGTGACACATTTAAAAAAAAAAAAATTCAAAATTGAATTCGGCAGAGATGTCTGTCGATCTTGCAAGAATATTTAGATTACGGTCATGTCAATTATTTTTGCACCCCCCCCCCCCGCCTAAAATATCAAATGCCTAAATGTCAATCTGAACAGGGGATGGCATTTCTTCGTGTGTTTGTGTGTTAAAGAAGGTATAGATCTATGTACACATAAAAATTGTATTCTGGTTAATTGCTTTTAAGATTTGAAGTAAATAATTACCGTACATCAAATTACTTGGTTTAGATTTGAGATTAGTACTACAATTATCAGTTATAATTGACAAATGAATTTTGCGACGCAAACCAACTGCAGACTATATACATGACTTTGTATAGAATGTATATTAGAACTACATGCAGATAGACAATTCACAATTATAGCCTATGAACAGCAGTTATAATACCCCCCTTCAGCCGCGCAAATACCAAATAACTTCTCTTTCCACTTGTGATATTTTCCCTGACCAAAATCTGATCAGCACGGACTAGGTGTATCGATGTGCTTGTCTGTACGGAGTAATCACAGTGTGTTTACTATTGAGCTTTTACGGAGTTTATTTCTTTTTTGTGATGCATATTTCAATAAATGGAATTCAGGGTGTATATCACTTGACTTGTGCACATCTTCGAACCGATGCAGTAACCTTATTACCAGGTATGGGTACGTTTACAGCGTTCGAGGCGTTTTCTCGATATGCACCAATTGCATAGGGGCTGCAAATCAAAGACGTTGGTTGTTTTGTGCCATTCAAATGATAATAATTTCAAAATGTGTTTGCAGATTTTACTGCTTTTTATTTCAAGTTTATTCTGCATAAATGGCGCACTGTAAAAATACGTACTCGTGCATCTAAATTTCTCAGCAAACTTGCATTTTTTTTCTTTTGATTCAAATCAATAATTATTCAGAAATATGATTATTATTTTGTTTATTGTGGTTTTGAAATGTCTTGATCTCCTTATGTGTTCTCATATATGCTTTACCATCGGAGATGTGCACAAGTCGATACCCAAACCAAAAAATCATTCAACTGTAACGAGCGCATTGGGGTATACATCGTTACAATGAGACAAGGTATCTGAAAGAAATATGGCGGAATACGGCTATCGTTGGTATGAAACAAGTCGTACATAGATGAAAATGTTGCGTTTTTAAGAATTCATGTCAGCTTTAAAATATACTTAGTCAGCAGTTTCAAATAAGAAATGAGACCTCCAATGATATGTTAAAAAAAAGACAGTGCCATGGTTTTTTTCCCCATGGGAAGCCCCAAATATGTATTTGATCGAAACGTAAAAAGGAGGTAGGTATAAGAACAAAAGATTTTGGAAGAATCTCAATGAATTTATTCTTTGGTATAGGAGCAGTAACGGGTGTAAAAAGGGGTATAAAAATAGAATACAAAAATCCTTCATTTAAAAAATTGTCAATTTTTCCCAAGCTTTGATCTCCTCTGATATTTTTTTTATTTCAGATATAAATATACGTTATTTTTTCTCCTTTAGCGTCAGTTTGCTCTGCAGCCTCTTTTAGGAGAGGCTGTGTTGGACAGATTTTCCAATGTTTCGTCAGCCCATGTGAGGTTGCCAAGTGTTCGTATCCAAATGCTCACTGTGTGTAAGTAAAGCATGTACAAATATTAACCTGTTAGATTGTATTGTATAAATAAATGATAATAAACGTTTCTTTGTAAACTATCCTGAAGTGAGACCCGTTAAATTCTTAGCGTAAAGTGGAAAATAATACTTTTTTGTTTAGGGCTGACTACTGCAATGGATGTACCGCTGTTTGGTATCATGGCCATACAAAACTAACCACTGAACAGTGTGCCTAAACAACGACACCGCCACCATTTTAATATGTTTATTGACGTATTAAACATGTATCAATATTGCTGTTGAAGCTGTTTTGTTTTTTTGAATCATGTACATGTGTTGCAACCACTATTGAAATACCGACCACTATTGAAATAATTATTTCAATTGTGGTTGAGAGAGAGAGAGCATTTCAATAAGAAGCATAGGTTGCAACCACTATTGAAATACGACCAGTATTGAAATAATTATTTCAACGAATATTATGGTTGAGAGTGCATTTCAATAACAAACGTAGGCTGCACCATTATTGAAATACGACCACTATTGAAAAAATTATGTCAATAGTGGTTGAGAGTGTATTTCAGTAACACACATAGGTTGCAACCACTATACTTGAAACTATGTTCACTATTGAAATAACGTTTTCAATAGTGATTGAAGTAATGATTTCAAAACTGATTTAAATAATTATTTTGATAGATGCTTATAATTGATCCAATAACACAGCCACACTGCAAGGCATTTTGCTGTTTAATGTCTTGACGAGTAGACGTTTGCTTTGCTATCTACATTTGTAGCGTAGGTAATCTCATGAATATGCGTGACAATTTAGTTCTATTGAAATAACCATATTTTCATCAGAAAGTTTTATACACAAATTTATCAGTTTTATTTCTTTTTTTCAATATAGCTATTCTATTTTCTACATCTAGATATATTTATGATCCTTTCCTTTAAAAATCAATGACAAAAATGAACTTTATTTAACAAAATTAATACAAAATTGCATACGTGTATATTGATTGATTGTCGTTGGTTTTCGCCGATTCGGCCAGATTCAGCGGGAGCTTGCTGATAACATTTGCATACATGTTTGAATGTTTGAATTATAGGTAGGTCAGTTTGATAAAAAGTGTCCGTGCATTAATTTGAATTTCTACAAAAAGTAAAACATAAAACAACTTTATAGTTTCAAAAGTAGTCGTATTTCGATAGTGGTTGCAACCTGTTTGTTATTGAAAAGCACTCTCAACCACGATTGAAATAGTTATTGCAATAACAAATAAATGTACTGAATGATACAGTGGAAGAGTCGTTGTTTATATACTACCAAACAGCAGTCATTTAAATGGAAACATTAAGATATGAATGCTCGATGTTTCAATTTGAAAGTAACTTATTGTGTGTCCCATATCCGTTTTAGTGTTGGTGTGCCCTACATCATTTCTGAAAACAAAATGATTTATACTTTTTTCTTGGATAATTAAAGCATAATAAACTATTAAACAAATCTGGATTTTTTAAAATATTAGTTCTAGTGTAAACGCGGAAGAATAAATTGTCTAGTACATCTGGACATGCGAATAATAGGTCGAATTTTAAAAATGTGTGCTCCACATCCCGGGTTTTTCTCACTTGTTTTTCTCACTTGTTTTCAAACTGTGTCGAAGTGTTTGGAGCAATAAGATACTATCACGAACAAACGTACAATATATATTGTAGTTGACGTTCTTTGGCATACTTTAGGCAGGATACTGATTTAATATCCATTCTTTATAAGTGCAAAAATATCAATTTCTTACATCGAAGCGGAGCATTTGTCCTTCATTTTTGTGTGTCCTAATCCCATACGATGACGTAGATTCCCCGCCGTGTATCAACAATGCAGGTAAGGAGATTTAAAATAGAAAAATAATTCTAGTGAAAACAACTCCATCTGGAATTTCATTATTTTCCTTTAACAAATTTAACTCTATTTTGCTCAACTTTGAAAAGTAAAATTTTGTCAATTCAAATGTTTGCTTCAGAATAGGTTTTTGTAAGGTGATGCAGGAGCCATTTATAAACAAAACTTAAAAAGTTGATGTTTGAATAAAAAAATAGTTGAGGCAAATCAAAATTTAGTTGAGACTCCATATTATGGAAATTTCTTCAAAATCTTTTTCCCAAGATCCACTGGGCCAGAAAAGCTAAACTTATAGGGAAGCATCCTGGGGATAGTGTAGATTTTAAATTGTTCAAGCGTGACCCCGGCATAGGGCAAGGCCACAATAGGGAATCCAAGTTTTACGTATAAATATATAGGAAATCTCTTAAAATCTTCTCAAAAACCACTGGGCCAGATAAGCTGAAACTTAAGTGGAAGCATCCTGGATATATAGTGTAGATTCTAAATTGTTCAAACCATGACCCCTGGGGATTGGGCAAGGTCAAGATAGTTACAGTATTACAAAGGGGGGGGGATCTGTTAAATAAGAAAATGGCCATTACTCAGGTGAGCGATGTGGCCCATGGGCCTCTTGTTTTTCTTTCTGAAGAAATTGGCATGACAATCAATGTTCCAAAGATGGTTCAAAACGTTCCATTCAAACGGAAAAATCTTTTCAATGCGCTTCATTGTAGAAGACACCTATATATTTATTTTTTGCATTAATCAGTTAGATGTTAGGAGTAGTAATTAATTTTTACATTTTGCAAAGTCTTAATTTACTTCACGGGTAGAGATTAATTATGCCTTAAAAGTTAAAACATAATTGTATATTGGACCTCCTGCTTAAAAAAATGATCACCATGAAAGGCTTTTTTGTCCCCCGCTTGAAAAGTGGGGGATATTAATTTGGGTTTGTCCGTCCGTCCGTCCGTCTTTCTGTCTGTCTGTAACGCTTTCGTTTCCACACGATATCTCGAGAACCCTTTGAGCTTTTGCAATGAAATTTAGCAAAGCAACTCCCTATGGACTAAAGAAGAACCCTATTGATTTTGAGGTCAAAAGGTCAAAGGTAAAGGTCATAAATATGCAAATTCTGTCTGTTATAACACTTTCATTTCCACAAGATATCTCTAGAACCATTTGAGCTATTGCAATGAAATTTTACATAACAACTCCCTGTGGCACAGGCATCTGACATTACTTATTTTTCTTTTAATAAAAAAAATACCCTTACCTTATAATAAACCTGACGTTACTTATTTTTCTTTTAATAAAAAAAAATATACCCTTACCTTATAATAAGGTAAGGGTATATTTTTTTTTTATTAAAAGAAAAATAAGTAATGTCAGGTGCCTGTGCCTGTGGCCTAATGAAGACCCCTATTGATTTTGAGGTCAAAAGGTCAAAGTTCAAGGTCGTAATTTTATACATTCTGTCTGTGTGTAACACTATCATTTCCGGGCGATATTTCAAGAAGATTTCAAGCTTATGCAATGTAATTTTATACCAAAACTCCCTAGGACCTCTCTCACCCCTCTCAAAGTGCCCCGCCCCGTTTGTTTTATTGGTATTTATAGTATTAAATGTCGTTATTTTTAGCACAGGGCATGAGGAGAGTTATTGCGTATAAAACAGCTTCTCGGCGGACTTTATGTTCTTATTATATCTATTAGAACTGTTTAATAAAGGCTAAATAGATCAAACACCATGGATTGTGTAAAATTTTGACAATACCGAAAATGAATATACTAGTATACATGTATGTGACTTCACTTCTGCATATACTTGTCTTCACGTAAAGCGATTCCGTGGTCTAGTGGAATGTCTCTCGCCTCCCATGTGAGAGGTACCGAGTTCAAGTCCCGGACGGACCCCCCCCCCCCCCCCGAACTGCGCATGTTTTACTTTTTCCTTAAGCGGGGGACACAGATTCTCTGAATTAGCTTGTTTTTTTGCAAAGATAGACATAATATAGGCATTGTACATTGTAGCGTAGATCTAACCCCCCCCTCCCCATTTCTTTCTACGGGCGCGATTCAATGTTTGCACTGAAAGAAGTTCAACAAGTTGGGATGCTTTGAATTGAATGCTTTGACTTGCATTACATGCATTGTATACTTAATTTTAATTCATCTCCCTCACAGGTACTTGTGGACAGGAACCCCCCCCCCCCCGATATTCAACCCCAGGGCTTATTTGACATTTTTTCACAAATTATATTTATTACACATATTCATCATGTGAACAATATGAAAAAATCCTCAAAACCCCAAAATAATCGCTCCAAAAAAAAATCTCCCACTATACATTATAAGAGAGAAATCTTGAGTCTTACCTGTACCTGTGAACTCCCTTTCATCTCCCTTTTATGTTACAACTGTTGTGTCGAGATTGTTTGAAACGAAAATAAATAAAAAATGCGTTATTTTTATGCCATTGTAATTGATAATTCGGGGGCATTTAGTGTTTGCCCTGCACGTCCGTATTTCTGTTTATTTGTTGTTTCTATTTGTCCACAAAAACTTTGTAACCTTTTCCTTAATTTTCGATCGGTTGAAACTATGGCTTTTGTATTTCAGAAGAGCTGCAGAACTGTAGCTCTCCGAAAAAAATAGTTTGACAAATATACCGGAGAGCTACAGTGCCACTCATTGAAAAAAAACTGTATATTTATCGCACAAAAAGTGTGCCGTTTCTCGATTGATTTCTCCATGATTTTAAACTGTCATCTCAAAATATTACTAACAGTGTGTTCCTAACATATTTTTTCACGGTTTCCTCAACAAAACATTCTTTGTTGTTAATAGACCTCCTGGCCCTGAAATTGAGATCATCAAAAATATCGTCTACTTATACTGCCATTTTGGCTTGCAAAATAATTTGGTCCTACGGACTTCTTGCAGGTGTCAACTACGGGAGTACTTCATAGAGAAGTAAGGAATTTTTATGAATCTGTCTTTTTCGCGAGTGGGTAAGAATTTGGAAGAATTAATTCAGAACGACGCGCAACGTTTTGTGCGCAATAAATATACAGATTTTACAATGGGTGGCACCGTAGCTCTCCTGTCTGTCAAAATATTTTTTTCGGAGAGCTACAGTTCTACAGCTAATTTCAGAATTCAGAAATGTACGCATTCCATGTGACATGACCTCTTGACCTTGGAGTTTGACCCATTTTTGTAAAACTTTTGCCATTACTTTGAACGGTCTGTACAGTGTACAAGGGTTTTGATATTTCACACAGGTATTTTCTGTGACAAGCCCAAGAATTTTGACTCTATTACCTTGATCTAGTAGTTTTGCCTTCTTTGAACATGATCATAACGTTTATTGTCCCCTGCTTGAAAAGTGGGGGATATTAATTTGGGTATGTCCGTCCGTCCGTCTTTCTGTCTGTCTGTAACGCTTTCGTTTCCACACGATACCTCGAGAACCCTTTGAGCTTTCGCAATGAAATTTTGCATAGCAACTCCCTGTGGCCTAAGGAAGACCCCTATGATTTTGAGGTCAAAGGTCAAGGTCATAAATAAGCAAATTCTGTCTGTTAGAACACTTTCGTTTCCGCGCGATATCTCGAGAACCCTTTTAGCTTTTGCAATGAAATTTTACATAACAACTCCCTGTGGCCTAATAAAGACCCCTATTGATTTTGACGTCAAAAGGTCAAAGTTCTAGGTCGTAAATTTGTACATTCTCTCTGTATGAAACACCATCATTTCCGGGCGATATTTCAAGAAGATTTTGAGCTTTTGCTATGTAATTTTATATCAAAACTCCCTAGGACCTCTCTCACCCCTCTCAAAGTGTCCCGCCCCGTTTGTTTTATTAGTATTTAGGCCAATCCAAGTTTTTTCTATGTTTAGCGTCCGCGTGCGCCTTGGTTTTTGACACCCAATATAAGAAAAAACACACAAAATTTGAAATTGATTAATTTAGTCGAATTTTTTTTTATTTTGTCAATTTCTCCAAATAATTCTGTAGAGTAAGATATATTGGGTGTATTTTAAGCATTTAATCACTTGTTTTTGCTTAAGAATAGAAATTTCTTCTAATAAAGCAGTGTATTTAGATCAAATCATTTGAAGGGCGTCATTTTTATGACTTTGAAGCCTGTGTTTTATGTTTTGGCCTGTGTGTTTTTTGCGAATAGGTAGGTAGGTTTTTGAAAGATGAGTGGACGCTAAACAGAGGAAAAACTTGGAATGGCCTTATTACATGTCGCTATTTTTAGCACAGGGGCATGAGGAGAGTCATTACGTATAAAACAGGTTCTCGGTGGACTTAATATTCTTATTACATCTATTAGAACTGTTTAATAGATTATAAAGGTTTATTAGACACCATGCATTGTGTAAAATTTTGACAATATCGAACGTGAATATTTACATCTATGTGACTTCATATTTGCATATTATTCACGCTAAATAACAGAGGCTCCGTGGTCTAGTGGTATGTCTCCCTCTTCATGTGTGAGAGGTCCCGGGTTCGCATTCCGGACGATCCATTTTTTTTTTCGAAATACTTTTTTTTTTTACTAAATGATAGTATTAAGCATGTGAAATGAAAAATTTATGAGGTCTGGCTTGTACAAACTCATAAAATCATCATTACAGTGTGATAAATATTCCATATTAATTAAAAGAATCTTCTATACACATAATAAAGAATAAGCAATGAAATCTTTATATCCATGTTGGCATATTTTATTTGCTTCAGTATACATGTATACATTTAATAATTCTATAAATTCAGTCAAGGGGATCCGACCCCCCCCCCTCCCCCCGAACTGCGCATGGTTTACTTTTTCCCTAAGCGGGGGACACAAATTCTCTGAATTAGCTTGTTCTTTGGGGTTTCATATATCACGTGTGTATTCCTTCAAGCAAGACCTTTCTTGGGTATGAACAATTATTATACTTCTGTTAAAATGTTTCCTGTATAAAGTTAAGAAGGTAAATTGACAACTTTTTCATAGTCAGAAAATTTCCACGCATAGGAAGCTAAACCCCGGGGTATAGTTTTTGCTATCCACCCCTCAGAAGATTTTCATGCAATTTTTGCCGCCAATTTTGATTTCAAGCGATAAATCAATAGACTCAGAAATTATAATATATATCAGTATAATAAAACGCTTATCCACTGGTTATGGGTGGGGTAGCTCTTTCATCTAAGCCTTGACAGGAACTATTCCCCTCGGGCAAGCCCTCAGGGAATATAGTTCCTGTCGCGGGTTGCATAAAAGAGCTATCCCACTCACAAACAGTGGATAACCCTTTGACACTGACCTTGAAATTTGACCTTCTTTTGAAATATCCTAACCCTGTCCATAATTTTGAATGCTTGGTGTTGGGGCTTTCATTTTTCATAAAATGTATGAATGTGACATGACCTCCCCCATATGTCCCTGGGCATGAATAATTTTGACCATTTGTTTTTGATGTTTGGATTACGGTAACCGTATTATGTTGCATGTTAACATGTAGGGGACAGATTATGCCACAAAACGGTTGGTACTACGGCAATTTCTTTTTCATCAGGTACATGTATACAGAAAAACCTGTTGATATTACAGGTAAACCTGTTAACCGATTTAGAGGACAAGGGCACAATCTTTACTTATGGTTAGCATATTTTTTTTCACTAAAAATATTTTATTTCCATGTTTAAAGGTTAATTTCCTTATTTAAAATGTTGAATTTCCGATTTATTTAAATAAAGAAATAAATGTTACAATTTGAAAGCCTTACTCTTCATGCCTTAAAGGACCATGGTTCTTAATGATGGTACATTGATTGTCGTGACTGATCAGGTATATACGTATTATTTTTACGTCTTAGATCGCGATCTCTGATCACGATTAAAGACCTTGAAGCAGTTGTCAAATGGGTACATTATCCGTGGAATAACCTGAATAGGGGTGCAACACGGAAGTAGTTTAGAAATCTTTTCTTTTACCGTAAAAGAAATGTTTTCTTTTATTGTTAAATAACCAAGACAGATATGGACCATGCCCTATATTTCATTTTCCATGGTTTAAATATAGCCTTTCCTAAATCTCCAGGGTTTGCCTTACGTATACCGCGACAACATACCGCAACATTTCTTTATCCAGTTTCCTCCGTGACGGCCTGAGGACGTGGTTATAATTAATTAAGCCAACAAGAGGAATAAACATCATTAAATTTTCGACCCCTTTATTTAAAACTGAAAACAAAGTGACGCATTTTGTATCAAAGTGACCATCAACCAGCACGTGTTTTTGGAGGAAAAGCAACCACCTTGTAAAATGACAAATACCTGCCGCTGCATATTCCTTCTGTGTGTAGTAACTATTGTTGATTCTCAAATTCATACAGCGAAGATGAAAAATCCAGAACTAAAAATTTCCAGTCCGGAGAACAGTCGGTGCTTCGCAGGAACGTGTGCCGGGATTCCGTATGAAAAGATACGGCATTTATATCGGGGTTCGTAAGTTAATTACATTTTAAAATAGTCTGATCTTCCAGTCAAAGAACTTTTCAGATTTTAAAGATAGTGATATATTCATAAATGATTCTAGTACTTACAACCGTCATTAGATTTACTTAGAAAGTGTCAAAGTATACATGTATGTCAGATCAATAAATGCGAATTGACTGGGTTTTTAACTTGCTCATTTAGATCCTTCAAGAGTCTATACATTTTTTAAAAAATTTTATATATAATTTACTGAATGTAAATATTTCACACAGGAATATTTTTCACAAAGAATGAGCTGCAAATGAAGCTAAAAGAATTAAACGCCTACACAAGCCGCACCAGTAAGAGTCCTGTATGGCAGAAAAAGTTCAGGAAACCTTACGGCTATTCCTCGCGTTTAAAAAGTTCTAGTAATTATTATTATTCGGGGTATCATGACGGTGACCATTGTTGTCCTACGTAAGTAAATGTAAACATTTCTATTTTTAGTTTATCTTTAAAAGATTATTTACGAATGATTAAAATTAAATGTTGAACGTCACGATTTTTTGTTTTAAATTTAACATTAAATTAAGTGATTAAACGATATGACATATATATTCCTATATGGATCAAGTTCATATATAATTTCCTCTACTTTTTCCATCTTTACTTTTCAGATCTCGTGATTTGATTTTCCCTCCTGTCTTAAATAACACGAGAGGAGTACCTCGTTATATCGTCCATTTCCCCGACAGTCAACCAGACCCCATGTATCAATTCATACCCAGGGGGAGATGTGTGTAAGTAGTCCATCTAGATTTCTCACGCACCTGTTCAATGCGCGAAAAAAAAAACATTCAAATCTAACGGTATTAAAAAATAGACTGTTAATATTGTTCCTCGCTCTTTGAGGCGAGTGTCAATTTTGATATTTTAACTTTTAAGTTTATATCAGAGATAAAGTTTAACGAATAGGTATTTACCCTTCCGTGTATTTGGATAGAGTAGTTTGTGCAAAGAAAATTAAAGGACCGTTTAAATCCAATATATATTTGAATTTTTAAAAAAAATACACCCTGCCCTTACGATTTCTTCTTTCTTTTTTTTTTCTTTCTTCAACAAAGTCATCTTTCAATTTCAAATATGACCTTTTTCCACAAATAAATCATTCAAAACATACATACACTTAAATTTTCTTTAAATACGTCGTTAAAAACTCGTTTGAGTTTCTCTTTACTCAATTTTTGTCTTCTTTGCAAATTACCATCTTTCATAAAATAAACTGAATTTGCTTAAAATGATAAATATCTTCTTGAAATCGAAACGGACTTTTTTTAAAGTACAAAAAAGTTTGTTAAATTAAATGATTTGTTCCATGTCCTTTGTAAACGATGCGGAAGAATTGGTCGTTCACAAAAATTCAGTGTTTGCTTTCGCTGAAAGGGGAGTTTTTCTGTCATTCTGTCCCATGCTTGTAATAACAGATAGAATTTTAAATCTATAGCAAAGTTACTGTACTGGGAGCTCAAAGTCTTTAAATATATGCCTTCCATGTGTTTTCATTGTGTATTTACAATCAGGAAGTTTTGACCATATTTTGCCTTTTTTAATCTAGACCTGGAGGTAACTGTAAGAACTGTGAACAGGAGAAGGCCCTCCACTCCCTGCTCGTGATTGACTTGACAGCACCCCCGTACTTCGAGTTTGACGATTTCTACCTACAGAGTTATTGTTCTTGTAAAGATTAAAAAGAAAATTGTTAATTAAAAATGTCAATTAATTGATGCACCATTTTCAATAAAAATTCAACTATTGTGTGCACTCAGGATTTTTATTGTGTAATTGTCATTGGTGGTCTTAACATCGGTACAAATATCTCTTACTGTTCAGCATTCTCAATTTGGCAATGACGGAGCACTTTTCGGTTTTTACCATTATGACGTCAATCTTTTGATTCGTCAAGAAGAAAAGAACACCCTGTGTCTTATTCACGATAAACGATGGAAATCCCCAGTCTCTTGTGTCAACATACATCTGACAAGTTGTGAAAAGACAGAGTCATATTACAGTCCGTGTCAGTTTTCAAGAACTGGCGAAGTATCTCTTTCGACCTTGATTAACCCGGATGTCACAGTTCCGATCATTCATTGGTCATTGACGTAAAATTAGCAAGATGTAGTCGCCTTGGTGTCGATTCAAGTGGTGCGTACGGCTCTGATTTAAGTTATTGATAATAAAAAAGAATGAAAAAAAGGAAATGCAACATGTCTGCAAGTACACGTATCAAATGTCATGAAACTTGTGAGACACAGGACGGAGTATGAAAACAAATCATTGAATTATTTCTTCAAAAGGAAAGCAACATTAATGTTGAACATGCAATATGAATTATCGAACATAAACTACACACTATATGCCAAAGTCAATCTAATTATATTTTGCAAAATCTGGTTGATTCATAAAGCGTTAACATAGATTTTCACATTGGTTAATCTGTTCAAAGTGTTTTAAATCACATAATATAGAATGGTCAATAAAGCCGAAGTAGAAAATGTAGTTTCCATGTTGCCATCTGGCTATAGAACATACTGTGATCAAGATCTAAAGTTTGAAAATTATAATTTTTCTACAAACATGGATATATTGTAACAAAGTCTACAATACTTTGATTTTTATGGAAGATACTATGAGTGAGTAGTGCATTTTTACCTGAGTCAGATATCATACCTAACCACAGTATACATACATAGAGATATTATTATATATATACATATATTTATACTCTTAAAATCTTAATTTATGATTCGATAATAATGAGTTGTCACAAAATCCGATAGAATGGGAATGATTTTAGGTTTTTACTTTTAGATAAAAAAAAGTTAATAAAATCCACTTTCTCTTGATCTGGAGAACACATGATACTGTATATTTGTATTAAGACGAAATAAATAAATATTAAAGAAAAAAAATATTCAAAAAATACATATGAATATTCTTATTTTTTTTTTAAGTATTTGATTTATACCATTTGTCTTCTCGAATATATTGTTGCAAAGTACTCCTGATCCTTCCCCTTCACTACTGTTAATATTTAAGTGAGGAGTAAAGAAATAGGTTTGGTAGAGCATTTACTGGAACCTGCTGTATATCTTCATAATCTAAGGGTTTTTATGAAGTTAAGGAATCCAATGACGTTGCGCACGGTGTTGGTGTCAGTTTCGGTAACGTCAAAATGACGTTATTTTACGTGAAGTTCTAAAAAATTTACTTGACGTTACTTTTTTGCTTACATTTTTTATGGAGAAAAAAATAAAAACCCAGTAATGCCGCCAATTAAATAATTCAAGTAATTGAAAACACGTGTAATTAAATTCTCTGCACTCTTTTGCATGCATATTACAGGAGGAAAATATAAGCAGGGTTTGCCTCATTAAAAAAAAACTTGGTAGAAATAACGAATTTTGTTCAACATGGCATTTTGAATTTACATGCTTTTTATTTTATTGAGATAAATTCAAAACAATTCCATATCATATCAGTAGGCCCTAGAACCTGTCCTTTGTTTTCAGTAAATTGTACGTTGTAGATATGTTGCTGATTTAGCATTGAATTATTATTTGTTAATTCCCATCCCATCTTGTAATAAAATCTGATACATTTGTACTCACCTCCAGCAACCCCTTACACTTATTCAATATTAGACTATTCAATGTAAACTCGTCATGTATAGAACAGTTTATACCAGCATAAAATAGAGTTGACACACTTTACTGGGAGTTAATTCAAATTTGAAATCATATCCTTGCATCAATTTTGGTTTGTGTGATTTTCTTTTCGTGTCTTAATTCGAACTCTGATAGGTACTTTTGTACAGATTTTGACAAGGATATGCACTGATACAGTGTACAAGTAAACACTGCACATGTTTTACTTTATATATAAGTACAACTTTTAAAACTTGAATTATTCTCCTAATTAACCATTATTGGTATGTTTTTCTTTTATCCATATCAGGCTCTTCAGCGATAATATTAAGAGTAAGTTTTGGAGAGAGAAAAATATATTGACGCTTTACATAACATTTTATGCATTGAGCCTAATAACGTCAAAACGCCAAATTTTTACGTCTGTGACATTTATTTTGACATTTCATTTTTGTTAGGATTTTTTCACCATTCTATTGAAATTATTTTGGAATATACCTTTAATTTTCAATATGTGAATTTTCAATGACCACACATATGATCAATGTTACCACATTTATACAATTATAGTAAGATTTGTTACTTTTGGACAATGTGTGACATTTACGTTGACATTGTAAAAAGCCTCTAAAACAAACACTTCTTTATAGAATCAATTCATTTTCATATCTAAATAAAGTTTTGATTTTGCACATTTTGTATTAAACGTTGTTTGGTGCCAAATTAGAAAAATGAATTCTTAAAATGTAGGTCATTGCTGGAGTGTAGCATTTAAACGTGACATTTTTGCCGTCAAATTCAGTTGTGACGTATAGCTACATGTAGTACATACATGTAACACGGCAATTATTATTAAAATTTAAGGCACCGAAAGTTAAAATTCTGTCTAGAGATATTTTCCTTAATAACGTGGCAACATTTTGTAGAATTTGTAATAATTTTCAACATCAATTTTTCATCCAGCATTAAAAAATTTGCCATTTTACGAATCTTAAAAACTTTGCGACATTGAACCTCCAAACTTTGTGACACACCATCTTAGTCAATGTCCCCACAATAAATCGGCTTAATATCAGAAACCCACTCCCAACATACATATCGACACAAAATATCAGTCTAATTTAAAATATAATTCCTTGCACACAAAAAAGATTATTGACATGCCATTTCAAAATTGATTTTGCTCATGAAATTATTTTTTTAAGTTACCGATGACATTTCGTATTCCTTCCATATTTCTTCGGATAACGCTTATCTACATCGCTGTCTTGCAATTTGAACAAGGCGTTCACAGTATTCGGATTAAACAACATCACAATTGTAAATCTTTATATCATTTACATCAGATTTTGAACTTTTCTGCTAAATGTTATGTTTGTATTGTTTGTTTTATGGAAATTATCAACATTTTGCTATTGCGTGTGCGACGCTCCTGTTACCTATCTACATGCGTTTTTGACGTAATTGATTGAATAGTCGATTTAATATATTTGATAATTGGAATTTTTTGCTCAAAATTTTTGTTAAAATGTGTTTAGTATACAATCACCAACCGAATGATATATAGTTTTCATATATTGAATTGTTTTAAAATTATGGAAATAGTGCAAATGCCGCCGTAATAGTAATTATTGACTTTTTGACACCAACACCGTGCGCGACGTCAATATCTGTTTGGTAGCCCAAATTCACTTTGATGACTTGAAATGTAAAAAAAAATATATATTTAAAACTGACATATATGATTTTGAGGAATTTTCTGCTTAGGGGATCTATATGGGTATATGTTGGATTACAAATGACATAAAAAGATCGTGATGTCAACACTGAACAGTAGATAAAAGATTTTCTTATCAGTTTTACTAGTAGACAGTACACACCAGACGTAGTTGTGATCAAAATGAGGGGGTTCTGCGTCTTTGCCTTCTGTGTCTTATTTTCAGGTATGTAATGTTCATTTTTGTTGCATTTTACTTCACACCATTTTTACTCAGCCTGCATTGAATCATCTCTCGGTAATAATATCATTTTTAACAAAATGGTTTGATTAAATGTACTCGTTTAACTTCTTCATCTATCATTTTCTTTCAATGTTATAATAAAGTACTACACATAATGGTCTAGAAGAACTGTGAGAAATGAGCTTACAAAATTTTATCCCCGTTCCGAATGGAGGTAATAAGGTTCATATTTTGCAGTGGGAAACACTAAATATCAAAACGTAAAATAAGATGGGCAGAATAGCACTATGTAATCAAGATTCTATCAAAGCTAGGACGCATTATATAAAAGGTCTCCGTAAAGTATATTTAGTAAGCAGTTACAAAAAAGAAATGAGACCCCCAATGATATGTTAAAAAAGACATGCCATCATGTGGTTTTTTTCCCATGGGAAACCCCAAATATATATTTGATCGAAACGTAAAATAGAGGTAGGTATAAATTCCAAAGATTCTGGAAGAATCTCATTGAATTTATTCTTTGGTATAGGAGCAGTAACGGGTGTAAAAAGGAGTATAAAAATAGAATACAAAAACCCTTCATTTAAAAAGTCGCCATTTTCTCCCGAGCTTTGATCTCCTCTGATATTTTTTTTATCTCAGACATAAATGCACGTTATTTTTTTTCTCCTTTAGCGTCTGTTTCCTCTGCAGCCTCTTTGAGAGGCTGTGTTGGACAGATTTTCCAATGTTTCGTCAGCCCATGTGAGGTTGCCAAGTGTTCGTATCCAAATGCTCACTGTGTGTAAGTAAAGCATGTACAAATATTAACCTGTTAGATTGTATTGTATAAATAAATGATGATAAACGTTTCATTGTAAACTATCATGAAGTGAAACCCGTTAAATTGAATAATACTTCCTTCGTTTAGGGCTGACTATTGTAATGGATGTAACGCTGTTTGGTACCATGGACATATAAAACTGACCACTGAACAGTGTGCTGGAACAACGACACCGCCACCATTTTAATTTGTTTGCATTGACGTATTATACATGTATCAGTATTGCTGTTTTTGTATTTTAATCATGTACATGTGTTGCAACCACTATTGAAATACGACCAGTATTGAAATAATTATTTCAATAGTATTGAGAATGCATTTCAATAACAAACATGGTTGCAACCAATATTGAAATACGTCCACTATAATTGAAATAATTACTTCAATAGTGGTTGAGGGTGCATTTCAATAACAAACATAGGCTGCATCCATTATTGAAATACGACCACTATTGAAAAAAATATGTAAATAGTGGTTGAGTGTATTTCAATAACAAACATAGGTTGCAACCACTATATTTATGTTCTTCAACACTTTAAATTCATTTATTGAGTTTACTATTAAAACTACGACTTTGTCTACTTGTGAATGATTATTTCAAAAATTGTTGCAAAACACCACCACATTTTAATCACTATCGAAATAAAACCTACATGTACAGTTGTAATAAGCCTAATACTAACTTCCCTAGAAATATTGCTTTTTAATGTCTTGACGAGTAGACGTTGTCTTTACTACACTTTATCTATATTTGTAGTGTAGGTAATCTCATGAATATGCGCGACAATTTAGTTATATTCTATATTCTTTTTATTAAAAATAACCATACATGTATTTTCATAAGAAAGATTTATACACAAAATTATCAGTCTTCTTTCCTTTGTTCAATATAGATATTCTAATTTCTACATCTAAATGTATTTATGATCCTTTCCTTTCAAAATCAATGACAAAAATGAATTTTATATAACAAAATTAATTCAAAATTGCATACATGCATATTGATAGATTGTCTGTTTGTTTTCGCCGATTCGGCCAGATTCAGCGGGAGCTTGCTTATAACATTTGCATACATGTTTGAATTAAAGGTAGGTGAGTTTAATAAAAAGTGTCCGTGAATTAATCTAAATTTCTACAAAAAAGTAAAACATAAAACAACTCTAAAGTTTCAAAATTGGTTGTATTTCAATAGTGGTTGCAACCTGTTTGTTATTGAAAAGCACTCTCAACCACAATTGAAATAATTATTTCAATAGTGGACGTATTTCAATAGTGGTTGCAACCAATGTTTGTTATTGAAATGCACTCTCAACCACTATTGAAATGATTATTTCAGTAGTGGTTGCAATCTATGTTTGTTATTGAAATGCACTCTCACCCACTATTGAAATAATAATTTCAATAGTGATCGTATTTCAAAGCACTCGCAACCACTATTGTAATAATATTTCAATAGTGAGTGGTCTTATGTCAATAGTGGTTGCAATCCCTATTTGTTATTGAAATGCACTCTCAACCACTACTGATATAATTATTTCAATAGTAGACGTATTTCCATAGTGGTTGCAACCAATGTTTGTTATTGAACTGCACTCTCAACCACTATTGAAATGGTTATTTCAATAGTGTTTGCAACCTTTGTTTGTTATTGAAATGCACTATCACCCACTATTGAAATAATAATTTCAATAGTGTTCGTATTTCAAAAGTGGTTGCAACCTATGTTTGTTATTGAACTGCACTCTCAACCACTATTGAAATGAGTATTTCAATAGTGGTTGCAACCTATGTTTGTTATTGAAATGCACTCTCACCCACTATTGAAATAATAATTTCAATAGTGTTCGTATTTCAATAGTGGTTGCAACCTATGTTTGTTATTGAAATGCACTCTCAACCACTATTTCAATAGTGGTTGCAACATACATGTACTACGTTTCGTAAAGGCCGGTATACACGATCGGTATACACGATGAGATTTGAAGTATAATGCAAGTATTATAATACTTTTGTATTATAATACTTTCCTGTACTCACGATAATACATATATTATAAGATTGTAAATAAACTACGTGTTGTTCATTTTTCTCTCTGTCAAAGTAATAAAAATGGAGAATGAGGCTCTGATAGCAGTGTCTATCACCGTACTATGCACTGCTTGATATATTCCACAAGTCCTTTTCCCCTTCCCATTAAGCCACGAGTTTTTCGATGTCTTTACTTGTAAAGTCGACCATTATTATTTACCATGTGCTTTCTTTAGTAATGATAAAAATAGAATGACCCCTAGTGTCATTACTTTTCATTGGTTGAAAGTGATAGGTAAAACCCCAGTCACATTACCAAAAAACACCAACGGCCGACGGGTTTTGAAGCAAATATGGGATTCTTCGGGTGACAGTCGTCAGTTCATCGGCCGTTGTCTTCGCCGATTTTGACCTCTATTTTTGTCGACCGACCAATTTTGTGTCCATCGGTCCAAGTTATAATTTTTTATGCGTCGGTGGCCGATTCCTTCAATTGAAGTTATCCGTCGACCAAGCTTCGATCATCGTCCGACCATCGGCGGTCAGTTTATAAAGTCGGTTGTCCGTCGTTGGACAATAAGGGTGTTTAAAATTTCGGCCGTCGGTTAAAATCAAACTGTAGCTTAGAGCTCGATGATCGGACGACGATTGGCCGACTTGTGAATATTTAACCTAGTAATGCCTAGGTCACATTTCCCGGCCGGTAGCCGTAGACCGGTGGTAATCGGTGGTAATCCGTGGTGTTAGCGATGCTCCAACATCGGTCCACATCGGCCTAGTTGTCCTTAAAGTATCAGTCACATTATCCAGTGATGGGTATACGATGGGCAACCAATGCGTTTTATGATAAAAATGGCGTGGTTGCCGGCCGGACTTACAAAGGCCCAGCGATGCATTGCTTATCAAAAAACGATGTTCCAGGATAATCGGTCGATGTATATTACATCGCTTATACATTGGTGAACATTGTTCGTACGTCGGTCGACTACGGGCCAATGTTTGGTCGAAAATCGACCGGTGATCGGCAATTATCTCTTGAACACCACTCAACCCCCCGATGACCTCTGATTCAACGGATATTGGACGATGCTCGGCCATACATCGGCCGATCCTTGAAAGATGTGTTAATGATGAGTTACCGATGAGGAGTGATGTGAGGCATCGTTGGAGACATCGCAGAATTTTAACTACGAATTATTTCCTACCGATGACCCCACCGATTCGCAAAATGGCCTCAGTCACCGTCCGATCACTAGTGGTGCCCGGCCGGCAATCATGCCATTTTCATAAAAAAACGCATCGCTTTCTCATCGTATACCCCATCGCTGGATAATGTGACTTATACTTAAGGATACATAACACAAACAAAATTTTGATGCATGGATTGATATAAATTTTTTGAACGGAAATAACATGAATAATTAATCCGTAAGATATAAAGAAATCTAAAGTATTATTTGCTGCTTAGATATGCACCATTTGTCATTTTTATGCAATTCCACACAACATTTTGCACACATTTTCAACTTTGCCTTGCAAACATTACTCACGTCACCTATCTGAATATAGATCTATGAAAAAATATTGCTGAATTCTAAAGAAAAAAGTTTTTTGTGTTATTTGTCCAAGTCATCGGTGTCCCTAGGAATTAATGTGACTACTCCGTGTCGCCCGATACTGTATCGGCCGATCATGTTCTTTCAGCCGACAAGACCAGAAAAATTTAGTCGCCCGACCATCGGCTTAAATGTGACCTAGGCATAAGCTTAAGGTCAAAGGCAACAATACAAATCAGAAGCAGAGCAAACGCGGACCTAAGGATCAGGTACCATTAATGAGTGAGCATGCTCTGCAACTGGTCACACCCACAGTGTGCTTCTTGTCATGATCGGGGAAAAACGGATTCTGAAAATCCGTAGACAATGTAGTATACAAATAATGGGCTAACAATTATCATGTAATGAAAATGTCCATCAGCATTTGAATTAACGAAATATTGTATGCTGACAAATTCATTACATAGGTTTATCGACCACAGAATTTGCGAAATGATGACTTTGAAAGAGACTATTGATATTCTTGTTTCATCAATTTGTTTGTCAACTACAGGTACTATCCTCGATTTAAAATTGTTCGTACGTAGAGCCCTTGTGTATCGAATTAACTGGGAGGTGCAGGTGATGAGGGCATATTGCAACATAAAAGGGGAAATTGACGAAAGAAAAGGTGAAGTAATAACCTTTTGTTGTTAGATTATCATAAATGTCTTATTCAAGTGAAATTTCAAAATACATGTATGAAACAGAAGAGTCAAACTCTTTGGCATCTATTGTTTCAATTTCATGACATGAACCTCCGCAACTGTAAACGTCGCTTTTGACAACCCTGATCTTTACCTACTTAACTTTAGATACATTAGGGACGCAGCAGCCCACTTCTACACTACAGCGTAATGTAATCTGGTCTTTATCTGTTTTTTTTTCACTTCCTTATAACCTTCAATGTCACGCAAATTATTTATTTATCATTATTATATTATTATCTTTATAACTATTTTCATTTGTTTTTCATCTAGTTGATTTCTCCCTCATAATGTTGTTTGATTGTTCATATTTGTTGTAATGTTGAAACTGAGTCTCCGGTTCGAAGGAAATAAAGAATGAACGAACTTAATGGAAGTAGATACCAAAAACAACCCGAAATATAAAAAAAACCTTATACTTAAAAAGGAAAACGCACACGAACAAGTGTAGCAAAGCTTTTATTCATTTTACAAATGACTTGCATAACTTAATGTGGAAATATGTTTGTTCAGAAACTAAAAGAATTGTCTTGTCACTTCATGGAATATCATCAATGAACAGATATGTGTTACATTTGTACAATAGTTATGAATCAAAATCTTGACATAACGTTTATTTAATACTCGAAAGCATCTTTGGAAATACACATAAAAGGGCTATCACTCTTCTCACACCGATAAATTTTGCCATACCGGAAACGGAAAATCCCCCTACAGCACAGTCCGGCTCCGCACTCCGTACTATCGGAACACCTCGCCCCTGTCGGTGAAATATGAAAAATACACATGGAAATTATGGTTCACATTTTTTCTTTAGCAAATTAATGAGATAAGAATAAAACATTACCTAGTGGTTTGAGGAATTCTGGATTGGGCTTTAGCTTTTCAATGTTTTTGCACGTTCCTATCTCCCGACCTTTTGGTAACCAAATAAAAGTCAAACGCATTAAACGCAAGAATAATATGGAAGAACAAAGTCAACATTTTTAGAAATATGTTCCTTACAAAAGAGAATGACAACTTAGTGGACATTTACTAAATAAACATTCTGACCAAAACTGCATGTAGATAAATACAATGTTTTATAATTACTAAAAGTACCTATTAATACTGATTTTTCTCGGTCCTTCAGGCACACATTTTTGGGGTCACAGCACTGGGTTGTATGTCCACAGTGTTCCTCTGTTTCAGCACACTAAAAATAATGATACGAGCCATAATTACAAATCATTTTATCAAATTCTAAATAAATGTAACACCCGATTTCCTTCATGATACTAGAGTGTGAAATATATAGTTTTGGTAGGTAGGCAAGTTTGTGCTCTTTGTTTTCTAAAACAAAATATGCTGTAAAATCAATGAAAATTTGCACAAAAAATTCGGAAATTGACATTATTTCTGACCTCTCTGTGACCTCAGTATGTCCCACAACTTAGGACCAATACTCATTTTGTGGCAGGAATGACAACAGGTTTTTATTTATAAAATGTTACATTATTCTAAAAGGGATTTTAGCCTATCTTGTCCTTTCTTTTGAATTTAAATGTTTTATCGTTTTCTTTCTGTAATACCAGGGTATTGCTTAATCCCCGGGGGATTATTTACTATGGGGACGGTTTCATATAAGACACAGATATTTATTAATTTTTTTTTAAATTTAAAGGCAGATCGCTGAAATTCCACAAAAGATTTTAGAACTTTTGAGTGTGCACAATACAATAAAAGATTGCAATGTAATGAAAATTCTTAAAGCAACCATAAAAGTGAGCAATATATAGAAGATCCTTAAAGTCATTATAAAAGTGTGCAATGTATAGAAGATTCTTAAAGCCATCATAAAAGTGTGCAATGTATAGAAAAACTACACAAAAGTTTGCAAGGTATAGAAGATACTTAATGCCACCGTAAAAGTGTGCAATGTATAGAAGATCCCTAAACCCATCATAAAAGTAGGTAGTGTATGGAAGATCCCTAAAGCCACCATAAAAGTGTACAATGTATAGAAGATCCCTAAAGCCACCATAAAAGTGTACAATGTATAGAAGATCCCTAAAGCCACCATAAAAGTGTACAATGTATAGAAGATCCTTAAAGCCACCATAAAAGTGTGCAATGTATAGAAGATCCCTAAAGCCACCATAAAAGTGTGCAATGTATAGAAGATCCCTAAAGCCACCATAAAAGTGTGCAATGTATAGAAGATCCCTAAAGCCACCATAAAAGTGTGCAATGTATGGAAGATCCCTAAAACCACCATAAAAGTGTGCAATGTATAGAAGATCCCTAAAGCCACCATAAAAGTGTGCAATGTATAGAAGATCCCTAAAGTCACCATAAAAGTGTGCAATGTATGGAAGATCCCTAAAGCCATCATCAAAGTGTGCAATGTATGGAAGATCCCTAAAACCACCATAAAAGTGTGCAATGTACAGAAGATCCCTAAAACCACCATAAAAGTGTGTAATGTATGGAAGATCCCTAAAGCCATCATCAAAGTGTGCAATGTATGGAAGATCCCTAGAGCCACCATAAAAGTGTGTAATGTATGGAAGATCCCTAAAGCCATCATAAAAGTGTGTAATGTATGGAAGATCCCTAAAGCCACCATAAAAGTGTGCAATGTATAGAAGATCCCTAAAGCCACAATAAATGTGTGCAATGTATGGAAGATCCCTAAAGCCATCATAAAAGTGTGTAATATATGAAAGATCCGTAAAGCCACCATAAAAGTGTGTAATATATATGGAAGATCCCTAAACCCACCATAAAAGTGTGTAATGTATGGAAGATCCCTGAAGCCACCATAAAAGTGTGTAATGTATGGAAGATCCCTAGAACCACCATAAAAGTGTGTAATGTATGGAAGATCCCTAAAGCCATCATACAAGTACGCAAGGTATGATCTATGAGCAATGTATATCTATAAAACCACCATAAAAGTGTGCAATGTATAGAAGATCCCTAAAGCCATCATAAAAGTGTGTAATGTATGGAAGATCCCTAATGCCACCATAAAAGTGTGTAATGTATAGAAGATTCCTGAAGCCACCATACAAGTACGCAATGTATGATCTATGAGCAATGTATATCTATAAAACCACCATAAAAGTGTGCAATGTATAGAAGATCCCTTAAGTCATCATAAAAGTATGCAATGTATAGAAGATCCCTAAAGCCACCATAAAAGTATGCAAGGTATGATCTATGAGCAATGTATATCTATAAAACCACCATAAAAGTGTGCAATGTATAGAAGATCCCTAAAGCCATCATAAAAGTGTGTAATGTATGGAAGATCCCTAATGCCACCATAAAAGTGTGTAATGTATAGAAGATTCCTGAAGCCACCATACAAGTACGCAATGTATGATCTATGAGCAATGTATATCTATAAAACCACCATAAAAGTGTGCAATGTATAGAAGATCCCTAAAGCCATCATAAAAGTGTGTAATGTATGGAAGATCCCTAGAGCCACCATAAAAGTGTGTAATGTATGGAAGATCCCTAAAGCCATCATACAAGTACGCAATGTATGATCTATGAGCAATGTATATCTATAAAACCACCATAAAAGTGTGCAATGTATAGAAGATCCCTAAAGCCATCATAAAAGTGTGTAATGTATGGAAGATCCCTAAAGCCACCATAAAAGATTGAAGGATATGGAGATTACGAACAGTATTCAATATCAAAGTCTATAAAACAATACAAAATAAGAGCACGGACCTCCAAAACATCAGAAGTGAGATCAGGTGCGATGGAGGAGTGAGCATGCAGTGTAAAGAAGATAATAAAATGTGCAATATATTATAGAAGATCCCTCAACTAATAGTAAATATATATATATATCGTTCATTGAATAGAACACAAGTATACTTAGAGCTACCATAAAAGAGTTCAATGTTTAGAACGTTTTTAAGCCACCCTAAAAACCTTAAAGCCACCATAAGTGTGCAATCTTTAGAAGATCCTTAAACCCACTATAAAAAGAAGAAACATTGAACATAAACGTATGTGCTTTATGCTGACAATATTTTCGTGTATATAGGCATGTTTTTGGTGATTCACTAGAAAATATTGCGCATGAACAGCATGTGGTGATTAGCTGCACGTAAAGGAAAAAGATATGAACGATATCATTTTCTTGAGTTTAAACGCATCTGTCAAAAATAGAAATCACTTATTGCTAATTTTCCATAAGTTCTCGCCGATTTACAGTGAAGTACAAAAGGGCGTGCAGGACGGCAATAAATCTATTCCGTACTATCATTTAGGATTGATCCGCACAATTTTCTTCCATTCTCTACCCTAATATCTGCAGTAAATGTCATTTTCGCCCCGTGATGGATGTCTAAGAACAATAATGGCCTTATATTTTTTACTGCCCTGTCCCCAAACTGTGAAAGATAACTACATCCTTTTGTTTTGAGGTATGGAATATGTCCCTCCCTCACCGGGGGATAATGATACATCGCACATAAAATGCTGCGTTATTGGAATACTTAATGTTCTCAAAGATTTATATGTTTAGTTGGAGAGGTGCAACAATCGAACTGAATAACGCATTTTGATATTTCATTTTTAATAATATATATGCGTATGACTTTTGCTAATTTGCTAAGGGTGTTATTACTAAAATGAGACAGAAAAAATAAAAAGCTTTTTGGTCATCATTTTATTTTTTGTAATTATTTTATGTTTATAACCTTCACAGATAAATTTCAAATTTTTCTTATTTTTGTAAAAATTAGTGAAGAATTTTAGTTCAAGACTATAGGCCCCAAATCAGATGAAAATACCGATAAAATCAGTCAGTTATCACTATACAGCGTGAAATTCGACATCCATAACCAGATATTGAAGAAATAGATAGGTTCAAACTTTTGCACTGATGAGTTTTTCTGAATCAATTTTCCCTCTAATGAGGATTTCCCACAAGTATGCAAATTAAACGATACTCATGATACCTCATTCATTAATCTATTCGTCGGAAATGAATGGCTTATATTCAAGGATATCATTTATCCTACAGGAGTCCCTTTCCTTTTCGAATACTCTCGTTGCCGATTACGTTTCATCAGCGGGTCGGGCTTATTGCCGTAAATGAAATGTGGTGCAAATTGAATTATTTCTATTTTCAGAATATAAGAAGTTTCCTTGTCAAAATACGAATTTCTTCTTGGCAATGTTAATGATGCCTTACTGAAATAATTGCAGACTTGTCGACATATTTACATAAACTCGTTTTTTGCTCATTTCATTCAGTCGGTGCGTATAAAAATGCAATTGAACATTTCTGAGAAAGTGTTGGGAAAAGGGAAAAACTTATGATGCAGAAAAATTCAATTTGCAAAAAATAATTGTCTTTAAAGGAATCCTTTTTTAGGCTCTGTTTATGGCAATCGGAATATAAACGTCTTATAAAACTAGTACGATTCATGCCAACATCTTCCAAAACGCCTGTATCATAGTTCCTACTTTCTCCTCTTTGAATATACGATGTATGATTTGATGTCCGTAAACTATAATTACATTTCACTCTATTCGGATTGTTATGTTAGATTCCACACTATTTCTAGTGTATTATGAGGCTAAATGTTTCCTTATACAATATAGCTGCAAGGCATTTTGCTCATCCTTTAAAAAGGTGTGGGATACTTCTCACCATCCCAATGGGCTTGAAATGATTATTTTTCACGCATGCACCGCGGGTTCCAGCATTTCCCAACAAAAACGATGGCAAGACAAACAGGTAAATTCTAAACAATTGTAAGTTTCCTGAAATCACAGATGACTATAGTTACATTTATTTGTTTTACATGTACATGTGTTTTGTATGTTGTTTAACGTCCCTCTCAAGTCAAGAATTTCCACTCAAATAGACACACCACCAGCAGCAAATTTTCTCCTATACTCAGCACTTAGGACCATTAAGCAGTGAGGGATCTTTTTTTGTTCCAGAACCCTTGAAGTTACACGGAACCACGGTTTACTAGTATACGCGTCCTCGGTCTCATGCGAATGACCGGTCTCCAGGTCCCGCAGTGGATTCGTACCCCCGATATAAGAATCGACAATAGAGCAAACTAGGAATAAATTATTTGATTCATTGCCCATAAGAACCCACCTTTAAAGAAATTAATGTGGCTATTGTACATATAAATAAGGTGATGTTAGAAGGATTTTAACATCCCGTTTAAAATAAGTATATTCTTCGTTTGTTTGTTATTCTGACCTTGTTTGTAAATACGGCCTATCACTGTTAAGTGTGGATTGAATAACATGGTCCGCTGTACTGTAAGTGAAATATGTGGAGATAAAGAACAGTATTCAAGATCAAAAGTCCATTAAATATTACCAAATAAGACCAGAGCAAAAACGGACCTATAAAACATCAGAGGTTGGATAAGATGCCATGGAGGAGTGAACATCCCCTGCGACCATTCACACCCGCCGTGTGCTCCTTGTCATGTATGGGAAAAACATCTGTAGACAATTAAGTGTGTAAATAATGATCTAACAATCAGTATGAAAAAAAGTATTAGACTTAATTATAGTTTGTACTTGCTGTCAAGGTTATTGTGTCGACAATAGAACTTACGAAATGATGACTTTAAACAAGACTGATGATGTTGTTGCATCATCGACTTGTTTATCAATACCGGTAACTTACCTCGTTTTAAAAATTGTTCATACGTAGAACATGCTTTTCCGTATCGAATCAACTGAGATATAAACCCGAATGCAGGTGACAAGGGGATATTGCTGCATAAGTAAGGGAAGTTGACAATTGAAAAGTTCAAGTCATCACGTTTATCATGAACTTTGTTGTTTGATAACCAATAACGTCTATTTCTAATGGTATATCCAAATATGAAACAGATGTTTCAGTCTCTTTGGTATCTTTTATTTCAAGTTCACCGAGTTGTATCGTATCGACATGAGAATGGAAATAACCATTGTGAATTGACAATTCATTCTCGATATACCCAAATGTCAAGTTGAAAGCCACAGCAAGTGTTAAATTCTTCTTTTCACGCAAAAGATTTTGAACAAATTCTGCTTCATATGAATACAAAAATAGGTCTGCTAATAACTTGGCGCAATGTGGTACCAATTGAATTTTCAATAGATTCTTGGAGGACCTGGTCTCCAAAGCCCACATAAATAATATCAACTCCAGAGTAATTGTGTGTACAATCAGAAGGTTTTCAACAAAGTAAATTTGCAAATGACCAATGATAAGGTAAGTAATTTTACGATTTTAATTTTTATTGAAAAAAGCAGCTGTCAATAATGTCAGAGAGCCTGTACTTTAATTTATCGCCTGGAATAGTTATATCAAGTCGTGGGTTTTTTTAATGCTGTAGACTTTGGTAAAATTCTACGAATTCAAATGTTCCAAAAGTTTCTTAGAGTATTTTTAGTATTCACATCTGATTTACACCACATCTCGAATGTATTGTTGCACAGTACTCTTGACGTTTCTCCTTTACTTCTGTTAATATCTTAGTGAGGAGTAAAGAAAGAGGCTCGGTTGAACATTCACTGGGATCTGCTATGCATCTTTGTCTGCTTACATGGCAGGCCAAAAGATATCTTCAAATAATTATACCTAGTCTTCAAGTCAATTGTACTGATCTGAATATGAAATGAAGATAGATTTACGTATGCAATTCAATGATGCCTATATTTAATTCATTTGGAGATGTACAATTGATTTAAAGTTAGGGAAAATTGAATTGAAGAGAGGTACGAGGGCCGTTCAAAAATTATGCGGACTTGTTGCAAAGAAAAAATATCTGACGACATAATCGGGCAAAATGTCACACATAATATAAAAGAATCTTTACTTATATGGTCTTCAAAATTTCATATCAAAATGTTGTAAATTGGTGTCAATTTTGAGTGATTTTTCAGGACATATCATTAAGTCACGGAGCAGCAAAATCTTCGACGTCACAGGCATTATATAAAATATGTGATTGAGCTATCATTTTCTCAACATTTTCCCAAGGGTACCTGTACAGTTTGAGTTACCTTATCTACTCAACTTTCAAACATCATTTCTTGTCAAGCATGAAATTCACAAATCTATTAAACAAGTATCAGAATATTGCTTTTTTGGTTTAAAACCAAAAACTGCAGGCACTTACTTTATGAGAATAGTGTGATATTAGTGACTCTCAATCATGTTTTTACAATCCGGATAAAGTTTTATCATAAAATCTACTTCCAAAGAGCAGATTTCAAAGTATAGCCTTTTTACAGAGGTCTAACCCTAAAATTTCAATTTGCTATTCGTGGAAAAATATCACTAATACCTTTCTAGTTTACTACATAAATATATGCATATTTTGGATCCATTGGCGATATCTCAAGCATTACACATATTTAACAAAAGTGTATTGCGCCGTATATTCAGAGACGTCATTTTCACAGTCGTTTTCACAGGAAATCGCATCAGAGAAAAATCACTATATTTCTGTTAGTACTTCAAATATCACGTCAGAAATCTAAATACATAATAATAGAACAATTTAAAGATATATTTGAGGAAATTGTCGAAAAATATCGCGAATTATTGAAAATAAATGAGTTATATTTTGGATTCCGCATGCTTTTGCTTAAACTTTTTTGTCGTGCTCCGTACCTCTCCATCAGCGATATCAACATACCGATAATTTTAGCAGATTTTTTTTAAAATACAGAAATGTTGCCCAAAATTTATTGGAATCTTTAAGATACATAATTATGTGAAATTTCATAACTATATGACGTCTGTAAGAGTAAATAATAGCACAGTCAGCGTAATTTTTGAACGGCCCTCGTACATGTACAAATACTATGAATTAAAGATTGGCATAATTGATTAAGAGATGGTTGCAATTGAATTAAACCTATATTGAGGAAGAAAAATTGTCACTATCATATTATGTCAAGTTTGAATATTTTTAATATTCCAAACAACTAAAATGAGTTTGATATAAAGGAATCTTATAGTAGATTGCAAAACTTAATAGAAATCCTTAAAAAGATTCTTAGCGGGTTCCATAAATGTTCTACCAAGTCTCTTTCTTTATTCCTCACTCAGATATTAACTGCAGTGAAGGCCAAAATTAGGAGGACTGTGCAACAATATATTCGAGAAGGTGGTGTAAATCAGATGTGATAGCTTAAAAATTCCATGAAATTTGAAATCAGAAATTTTCATCAAATTCGAATAGCATCAAAACTTATTACTTTTCAACAATATACAACGAATCCCCAAGATAAATTTAAGTCCAGTCTTTTTGACATCATCGAAAGCTGCTTTTTCCAAAAAAAAAAAAAGAAAAGAAAAAAAGAAAATAAAAGAAAGAAAAAAAAACTTGTAAATTTACCTACCTTGTCGTTTGACATTGGCAAAATTATTTTGTTAAAAACATTCTGAATGTATAAACAAGTATTTTGAACTTGATATTGAATGAGACTTGGATTTTCGATTGAAACCTATGTGGTTTTGTAGACCTGGTCTGAATTTTCATGGGTCCCAAAACAGCTGCGTCCCGTTATAAACAGACCTATTTTTGTATTCATATGAAGCAAAATTTATTAAGATGTTATACATGCAAAGAAAAAAAAACAGTTGCTGTAGCCTTTACCACCTCATTCGGATATGTTGACGACATCTTACCAATCAACAAGGTTTTTTTTTCATTTGTCGAATCAATACATCTTGAAATAAAATACTAGTATACTACAAAGTCTGACTGGTGCATGTTTGGATATTTTTACTTGAAAAAGACATTAATGGTAACTTAACAACAATGTTCTATTCTAAACGTAATGACTTCCAACCTTTCAATTGTCAACTTCATTTACGTATGCAGCAATTAACCCTAATCATCTGCATTTGAGGTTTATATCTCTCGATTGATTCGATATGCAAGAGCATGCTCTACGCAACCATGACTTGTTTAAACTGAGGTTATTTGTTGACAAACAAGTCGATGAGACAAACGTTTAGAATCATCATTTCGCATGTTCTACGAAAGATACAATGACCTTGTCAACAAATACAATCTATCATTAAGTCAAATACTGACTGACGTTTTTTTTCATACCAATTGTTAGGCTATTATTTACACAAACTGAATTGCATGCGAATTTTGCGTTATTTCGCGACCATGACAAAGAGAACACTGTGAGTATGAACGGTCAGCAGGGTTGCTCACTCCTCTATGGCACCTGATCCCACCTCTGATGTTTTAGAGGTCCCAGTTTCCTTTGCTCCTGATTTGTATATAACTGTTCGTTATCGCTATATAATTCATTGTAACTATTTTAAACTCATTTGTAGAAATGTATGAATTGTACCTATCTTTTTATTAAAGAGATAAGGGTATAATTAAATTGGATCTAGCTGTAATTAAATTGAACCAATCTATAATGTAATTACGTAGAGGTTTGATTCATTTTAGCCTTAGTTCAATTGTTAAAAAATACGTGTTATTTTTTATACCTATCTTTAATTCATTTTGACCTATCTTCAAAAAAAAAAAAATAAATAAAATATATCTTCAGTTATTGTGGATAGGGCTTATATAGGCTATGCCCTATAATTAATTATTTATTTATTACATAATAAAATATGTTCAAATCAATTATTTGAAAATAAATAAAATGGTTTGAAAATAAGTACAATTATTTGATAAGAAGTAAAAAAAATCCATAAATATGTACCAATTTAGCATTCCATAGACATACGAGAACAATTCATTAGAGGGGCGCATTTTTCCTCCAGTTTTTATAACTACATATATCATTAAAAATTATCCTTGCATAATTATATGAAAGTTGCAACCTGTTTTCTGACATTAAAAAAATCTTGTTTCTTTTCCTATCAGAATAGAGCAAGAAAACGGTCTACTCTGTTCCTCTTTTCAATATTATTAAAAATAAAAAAAAGCATATCAAAATAAAAGAAGACACAAAATGTGTTCCTGAAAAGTGAACTTTTAAAAATTGTTTTGAAATGCATGGATGTTGATCATCAGACAAAGTAGAAAAATTGGACACCTTAAGCTTGTCAAGATAAGAGGAATTTAGACGCTTTGAAAATGTTTCCCAGTTAATAAGCTTCTTTCAAACATATATGCTCATTAATTTGATAAACAAAAGATGAAAACAATTCAAAACACAAAACTCACAGTTAGACTTCTTCGATGTGGTTTCCAATTTTTGTTAAAGAAAGGTCCACTACCCAGATACTGGTACCAATAGGACTCCACACCAATAACAAACAGACAGACTATAGCTAGCCCCGGCTTCACAGAAAACATTGTCAGTCTTTAAAAGTTCTACAAGTTCTGAGTTCTAAGTTCTGGTGCCGATAGCGACATCCGGGAGTTTTATACACCATTATTGATTGAATACAAATAACTCGGAGTGTCAGTCTCTCCGTAAAATATGACTGACCGATTGCAACATTTAGAAAGCAGTTAATATCTTACATTAGCTAATTGAAAGTTGACTGTATTTTCCATCTAACATGTATCTATCTTTCTAATAGAGTTGCTTGATTCGTAAAATATGCTAATATTTAAGTATATAATTTATATTACTTGATATTTAAGAAATAATGCGTTTTCATTATGTAATAAATAGAGCCCCTGCCTAACATAAGAGCTCCTGCATTAGGGGATTATCAATTTCACAATTTTTGAAAAGGATACGAATACTTGGTTGATTATAACCTTGCACTGTCTGTCTGCCAAATACTCAGGGGTAGAGAGGAGAGTTTTCAAAGAAATAATGCATTTTTGCTACATGTATATGATCATTAGAACCTTACCCAAACCACATAATAGACATCCTTGCTCAATTATTACCATGTGCTTAGTATGCCAGCAAAATATTCAGGGACAAAGTAAAAAATATTAAGTTTTCAAAGAGATAGTGTCTTTTCTCTATATTAATAAAGCCCCGCCTAGCTAATAGCAAACCCAGATCAAGAAGCCATGTATTTTACAGTTTTGGAAGTGACACCCTTGCTGATCATAACCATTGCTTAGTCTGTTTACCAAATACTTAGGAGTAGAGGGGAAGAAATATTGCATTTTATAATTGATAGAACCCTGCCCTTTTTACTAGAACTCCTAACCCAGGCCGACAAAATCCTGGACGAAAAACCTTTGCTCATTATATCCCTTGACTTAGAATGTCTGCAAAAACCAGGAGCAAAGAGAATTTCAATAATGAATGTATTTTCACCTTATAGAGCCTCATCCTAACACAAAAACCCAATGACGCATTAATTTTGATGTTTGTGACCTCACCACTCGGGGTCCTGAGGGGACAGAGGGCCATGAAATTGAAAATATTTGTCCCCTTTTACCCAAAGATATCTTATTTCAAAACTTGTTGAAATTGGTTCAGCGAACTAAGAAAATAGCTAAAAATGTTTCAAAACTAATGCCCGACGAACGACGCAATCCGCACACAAACGAACGAGAGAAAAGCTTGATAAATAAAGTGGTACCTCTATTACTTTTAATATAGGTTTAAGTAATTCATGGAATATATCAATGCTTTATTTTTATATCACTCACTTAAAAAGTGAGGGATATATTGTGATAGGGTTGTCAGTCTGTAGATTCCCTTCATACAGGGTACTCCACGGAATCTTTCTCCTGCTACCTAATAGAATCTTTCTCCTGCTACCCCATAGAATCTTTCTCCTGCTACCCCATATAGAATGTTTCTCCTGCTACCCCATAGAATGTTTCTCCTGCTACCCCATAGAATCTTTCTCCTGCTACCCCATAGAATGTTTCTCCTACTACCCCACAGAATCTTTCTCCTGCTACCCCATAGAATGTTTCTCCTACTACCCCACAGAATCTTTCTCCTGCTACCCCATATAATCTTTCTCCTACTACCCCACAGAATCTTTCTCCTGCTACCCCATATAATGTTTCTCCTGCTACCCCAAAGAATCTTTCTCCTCTACCCCACCAAACATTTCTCCTGCTACCCCATACCCTATAGAATCTTTCTCTTGCTACACTATAGAGTCTTTCTTCTGCTACCCCACAGAAACTTTCTACTGCTACCCCACATAACCTTTCTCCTCATATCCCATAGAATCTTTCTACTGCTACCCAACAGAGTTTTTCTCCTGCTACCCCATAGAATGTTTCTCCTGCTACCACACAGAGTTTTTCACCTGCTACCCCATAGAATCTTTCTCCTGCTACCACACAGAATCTTTCCCCTGTTACCCCACAGAATCTTTCTCCTGCTACCTAATAGAATTTTTCTACTGCTACCCCATAGAATCTTTCTTTTCCTACCCAACAGAATCTTTCTCCTGTTACCCCACAGAATCTTTCTTCTTCTACCCAACAGAATCTTTCTCCTGATACCCCATAGAATCTTTCTCCTACAGACCCACAGAATCTTTCTCCTACAGACCCATAGAATATGTACTACATAGTGCCACTGTACATTTTGATTAGACAGATATTTGGGATTTTTCCATTGCAATATATGGACATTGCCATTTGTTCAACAATATTACTTTATTCGCAACTCATACAATGCACACTTTTTGTTATCAAGATAAAAAAAAGATCATATTTAGATAATAATACTTAAAAGCCAAACACAGAAAGATGGAGTGAATGGGTTGCAGATCATTTTATAAAAGTACATTCTATGTGTATTATATACCATTAATTTGTTAATGTACCTTAATAGTGAACTTGCTCCTGTCGAATTGTTATGCCACTTGAACACACACTTACATGTATGACTATTTACTGGTTTGCTGAATGGCGTACTGCACGCTTTGACGTCTGGTTAGAACAATGTCTGTCTTGTCTTCATAAATTAAACATTTGAAGCATTTGTAGGATATCACAATCAACAGCATGAACAGTAGTCGACAGTCAGGCGGATTAATCTAAGTACTGTCGTCAGTCCTTTCAGTACTACTTTCTGTAATTGCCGTCTGTCTAACTCGTTCGCTGACCTTATTCTAAAGATGCTGGTTCCGTTTATATGTGGTCGAATAGTATCAACCTCTCAAATGCGCGTGAAATAAAATCCAAAACACTTAGTCAGGGTATTAAGCATATATTTATACTTATATTTTTCACCTCCTTTCTGACACTGCATGTCAATATGGTGGTATCCTTTGGATGTCTCTTGGTTACTTTACTTTTAGGTGAGATTTCTACCAACCTATCGGATAGAATACTTCCGGTTTGAGATGATAAAATTTATTTTTTTAATTAAGATTTTAAGAAGAGTATATAGGATGGTAATTTGTACACCAAAATTAATTATAGAATATATAAATATGTGTAGCAAATTTTTGAAATTAAAACATGTATCACAATTCAGGTAATTTGGTGTCTTCTGAAAAGTATGATTTCAAGGAGAAGTTAATAAACGTTATTCAAAATCCGCAATCCTGGCAAGCTTCCGAAAGAACATGCGACAGGAATTATGAAAAACTTGCTACCTTCAAGGACGAACAAGAAATGTTCGAAGTCGAACGAAAACTTCACGAATTCACCAACAGAAGCCTTGCTACTTTCTGGATCGGAGGACGAGAGACCAAATATCAATGGGTGTGGTCTCATGGTGAGTACTACTCTACTTTTATATGTCTCTAAATAAAAAAAAAAAGTTTCAGCAGTGGACTTAAATCATAGATTATGCCTGCATATGTCGAATGTATGTCAATGATCCTAAAATAAGAACATATATACAGTGTACTTGCTTATTCTGATTAAAAAAAACCTTGATAACCTTATATAATGATTTCATATGATAGTTATTTTAAGACTTTTTTGTTAAAATAATGCTTATGCTTTTTTGAACCATCAATCTATCTTCATTTTAATATTACATGTGTTTGGATCTTTTGAAAAAAAATTAATATCTTTTTTCTTTGGTGTAGAATTATATTAAGGCACAACAAGTGTTCATGTTGTATTTATACTTGTACGTAGATCAGAGACCCCAGATGGGTAGAATTACAGGCTGCTTCCAAGGGAACCTGACATTTGCAGTGTACACTAATCTTCACAATAACCACCCAGAACTGTGTACAGCTTTCTGTAAAATAGTGCTAAAACGACCATTCGCTGCGCTACAGGTACATGTACTAGCTTATAACATTTTCCCGTAATGCAAATTTTAAAAGAAGTTGCAACTTACCCTTCAAATTTTGCAACATACTCTATATAATACCTTATAACATGTTACATATTTAAAGGTATTCATTGAAAGTTGTGAATATAGTGAATTGTGTTTTACCAATTAACAAAACATCCATTTTTCAGGATCTTAAATGTTACTGTCTTTATGATACGACAAGTCTTCAGGAGACCCAGATCTATGAATGTAACAGGGCATGCGCGGGAAATCCCGGAGAGTTTTGTGGCGGTCAAAATCGTTCCTCCGTCTTTCCAACTTGGGGTTTGTCAATAACACCATTTCTTTTGAAATTTCCGTCCAGGTTGATCATCAAGTTTCTTTAACAAAGCTTTTACATGTAAAACTAGATTCTGTGGAATGGGGTCTACACGAGCCAACTACACATAAATATGGGAAGGACTGTGCCTTATTAATGTCCTCAAAGGATGAATATGTTTGGTCCACAGAGTTCTGTAGCCAACATCACCAATTTATCTGCTACGTTAGTAAGTATACTAAAAAAGTTTTGTTTTCATTGTAACATTCATCTTCTAAAAATGTGATTACCAATTAAGTCATTAACATTGTAAAATACTCGATGTGTTGTAACAGTAATCACAAACTCTGAATGTTCTAATATACCGATTAAAATTTTTGCAAATTGAATTTTCTCTCTAAAATTAAAGATAACTTCCTTGACAAATCTTTATGAAATGCCAATAATTTTATGTAATTGGGATATTGCAACCCAGATGTTCCACATGCTTTTGTAGAAGAGAGCGCGATGTGTGAATGGTTGAAACAACCAACCCCTTGTTTGTATGTCGTGTCTGAGAAAACAGATTGGTACACTGCCAGCTACAAGTGTAATCAGATGCATGGGTACCTAGTGGACCGCGACGCCATTTTCCATCATAATCTGAATCTCTCAAATGTTTATTATTGGACTGGATTGACAAGGAAGCGACAGATCTGGACTGACGGTGAGTTAATTTTGATAAGACCTATCGACAAAGCAATAACCCGTTCATACGGTAAGCAGGAAGAGAGAGAGTGTTAAAGAAGAGCTCATTTTATTGCTGGAAATTGTCATAAATTTAGCGTAAAAAACGAGATACTGGGGGCAAATGAAGTTAATTATTCTTGAAAATTAACGCAAAATTGATCCTCTCTTCGTGGAGGTCAATCGTTCGAGAGCCCATCGATTTGGGGATCAAGATGCAATGCAGCATGTAACTCAGTAAACAGTTTTAAAATCCAGGAAACTGTCAGATTGATGCAGCAAAGTTCTAAGTGTCAATACTGATAATATTATACATAAAAGCCCATTGTTCTCCTCCCACAGAAAAATTCCGGAAATGAGTTTGCACGGCCGTCAAATTGTCGTTACCTACATAGAAATTACCAAAAACTAAATAACTGTTTTATATGAAAAAGGGTGAAGATGACGAACAGTTATTGATGTCATAAAACTTCAAACAAAAACTAGATCTGAACAGGGCATTTAACTCGGACCCTAGAAATTCCAGAGATAAGATCAGTTAAGCATCCCCTGATGACCGATCATACCCCAAATAGACGGAACATTTCCTAGTCAAATAATACAAAAAAAGTCCTAACAATTGGTATGAAAGAATTGAATAAAAATACATGTACAACCCAGTGATATTTGATATTAACTTATAGGCCATTATAAAGGCATAAAAGTTACGCATTGCTGACTCAAAATGAGGTTGTTAAATCCCTGCAAGTTCAACCTATTTGTAAATAGCCTGCCTTGGTTTAAATTTTTTTCGTATTCGGAGCATGCTATTAAGTAACGAACAGGTTAGGAGGCATAAAACCATATTCAGGTGTAAGCTGAATATCAGTACATAAAGAAGGAAAATTGACCATGGAAAAGCTGGAGTAATCTCGTCTGTCATAAAAAAGTAGCTGTTAGTTGGCTTTTACTCGTCTGTAGTCAGGAAAAACACTTCCAAATGTGAAATAGATGTGGCAGCTTCTGTGTTGTCCTTAATTTGAAGTTCACCTAATATAAGGAGTCGACAAATGAGTGGAAATACCTGAGTTGTAGGGATTTAATATAAATTACATGAATGTATTGTCCTCTACAAAAATTTGAATTTTTCAATTAAAATTTGTAATTTTAATTGAAAAATTTAAAGTTTTGTAGAGGACAGTATGCAAAATCTGGTCGTTATGTCTCAAAAAAGTTATTAATGAGTTATTTGCATGTAAATCAAAGAACTGACATTTACAAAATGGGTTTTTTATATTCTTACCTGATATATTCCATGCCCCTCGAGGATCTGTAAAGAATTATAAGAAATTTCGCTAATTCATTTCGAAAATCTCATTGATCTCAAAAATCAATATTCGATTAAATTCTTATGAAAGCAAAACTATACTATGAAAATTACTCCGTATTTCACGTGTATTCTACTTGTTTAAAAATGCATTACTTGTAGTATTGAGAATAAAGAGCGCCAATACCAAGCCTTACCATTTATTTAAATGATTTCTTTTCTAACGAACCTGTTATAGAGATCTTCTTATTTTAGGTTCAACAATTGACTTGTCTTTGAGACGCCATATTCCATTTCTAAACATCCAGGAAAAGTTATGCATCGCTTTGCAATACAGAAAAGATGGAGGATGGGGTTTAACATCGACAAGCTGTAGCAGAAAATATCCATCACTCTGTCAGTCGGGTAATACATTAGTCATCTGGTAATTAATACAACACATATCTATAATTGCATCAGTCAGTTCCATTAAATAAAGGACTTGTCGACGTCATTTAGCTAACTAGTAGCTAACTAGTACAACTGACATCGCCAATTGCAGCAATACATTCAGTGTCTAGCACTGGTCGGTCGGGTATTGCATTTGACAATGTAATGACAAGAACCTAGCGCTATGTCAGTCTTGCGTTAGAAATAACAGTCTTTGTGTGACATTACCTATCCAAAAGAAAACTGTGATCGGTTGCCCAATTGATATAACATCAGATATCCAGCACGTTCGCAGTTGGAGTCTGCTCTTAAAACTGAATGACATGAACAACTGTCATCCTCGCTGTGCAGGGTTCCTGAACGATGGTGCAGTTCAGTATCGCATCATCGAGTTTTTTTGGTCGATGATCCTATGACGCAATGATTGGCTGACGATAGTGCGACAGAGCTGTGACGATGGTGCAATGGTACAATAAAGAAATGACGATGATGCGATGATACAATAAAGGAATGATGATAATGTAGTTGACAATAAAGACATGACAATGATGCGATGATACGATAGAGGGAGGACGATGATGCGATGGAGCAATAAAGAGGTGACGATGATGCAATGGTACAATCAAGGGAGGGCTATGATGCGATGGCTTAATTAAGTGATGGCGATGATGCATTGGTACATTAAAAAGATGACGATGATGCGATACAATTGACGGAGGACGATGATTGGATAGTAAAAAAGAGAGGACGATGATACGATGGTTAACTAAAGAAATTACGATAATGTGATGTTAAAACAAAGAGAAAACGATGGTAAAATGAAGAGATGACGATGATTTGATGGTACAATAAAAGGGTGTCGATAGTGTGATAGTACAATAAAGATACGACGAAGATGCAATTGAACAATTAAGGGAGGACGATGGTATCATAAAGAGATTACGATTGTGCGATGGTACAATAAAGAAATGATGATGATGCAATTGTACAATAAAGAGATTAAAGAGACGACGATGATGTGATGGTACAATAAAGAGATGACGGTGATGCAATGGTACAATAAACAGATTACGATGACGCGATGGTACAATAAAGAGATTAAAGAGATGACGATGATGCAATGGTACAATACAATAATGAGATGACAATTATGCGAAGATCCAATTAAGAGATGACGATGATGCAATGGTAAAATAAAGAGATGAAGATGATGCGACGGTAATATTAAGAGATGACAATGATGCGATGGTACAATAAAGATATCTCGATGATGCGATTGAACAATCAAGAAATGACATTATACATTGCCTGCAAGAGCAAAAAAGCAACTTGATAGCAAATGACACGATGGCATTGTTATGATGGAAAGTTATTGCACCATCGACTATTAGTCTTGATGTTGTGATAATAATAGGTGGCCCTATTTGGATTACACATCTTAGAGATCGACTGGCCATCAAATATCTATTGATATGATTATTTGAACAAAATTACGTTAAATACCTTGTTTTTTTTTTAAATCTGGTTATTGCGTTTATTATTAGAAACAAATGCATGGAACAAAAATTATTTGTGCTTCATAGGTGTTAAGATCCTTAATAGATTAATTTGTGACTTCCACATCAAGTGATAGATGCTGAGCCAGATATGTACTGTGAAAGCGAAATACAAATACAGTCTACTTTTTTTCAGGACTAAGGTATGCATCGGAAGATATACAAGTAAATGGTCCACCACATTTTCATAATAATACTCACACTCCGACAGATACCACTCAGACTACCCACGTGACTTCAATTAAAGGCGAATCTCCCTACATGGAGACAAAGTGTAAGAAACTTCTACATCATCTTAAGATTTGGTATAGATGACTACACATTCTAACTCTCGTCACCATCAAAATGGTAATTATGCAAAGCCCATAACTTTACTATATGTCTATTATTTTTGTTTTGGTATACAGTGATGTACTGGGTGTTTGTTCCAGCTGGAGCGGTAATTCTGCTATTTTTATCCATGGTGCTGGTTGGTTTTTATATCAAACGATCAAGGTGAGTACATTTAAGCATTGAATAAATATTTTTGGCTGTCTTCGGTCCTGTAACACACCTGGCCGTGCCGACAAATTGAATACCGCGCGTTAGACGTATATCAGTGACGTCAGATGATGCATAAATGCAACAAACATTGTTATTAAAATGCTGACTGTTAATTATTTAAACGCACATATGTAGTATTTTACGAAAATTCATGCTTAAACAGCGACCTGCAAGTTTTTAATTCAAAATATTGATGCTAAAATTGTTTGCATACAGTTATTTTGGTTCCCAGGTTATAGAAAATTCATATAGTTCCTAATGTGTATTTTCGCGCGGCAACACATCTTTATTTTCTGTGTGTTATAAGAAATTTGAATGTCGTGGATTCCTAATGATAATTTACATCCTTAAGGAAAAATACACGGAATGTCATATAAAAAAGCGTTTTATATTTTTAAAATATTTTCATAAAAAGTATGTAATTAGTTTGAAAGATTGTTGTACACATTAATCTAAAGTTCCTCAGAATAATATAACTGTTTTCAAATAATATTTGTCTATTTTCTCCTTCTTGTGTCAATTGTATAAATTTGCAGTTTATATATTTCATAAAATTATATCAATCAGTGATCGTTTATGGCGTAATCGATAAGGCATTCATCTGTGAGTTAAGTTTTCATAAAGTTATGTGCATAGAAGAATTTTATTCAGTAAATAAACGTGACTTATTTCGGCATAGTATGCTTACCCGCTATATAAATTGATTTTACTATGAAAGATTTTCAAAGTATGGGTTATATAAAGGATTGACAGGAAGAAATAATTCATAATGTTTGTATATTTTTAAAATATTTTCATAAAAAGTAATGATGGGGCTCTTTTACTTGAATGCCGCATGAGTAGCCGGTATTACAACTCAGGATTTCTGTGTATTCAGTTTATCGCAGGTTATAGGTTGCAGGTTCCAATTTTACAAAGAAAGTATACGATTTTACGCTTTGAGTATTCATCTGTAAAGCATTTTATTATGGAAAAGCTGTAAAATATCTTTAAAGTTATATTTCATAAAATATGATGTTATTTTATCCCTAAACGGACATAATTTTCTGCTCTTCATTACCGAAATCTTATATGAAATTGATTTTGGTTGAAAGATTTTCAAAGTATAATGTATAAAGGATTTACCAAGAGAAAGGTTATAGCATACATGATAAAGAAAATTTGAATAATCATTGTGTCGGCAGGATTGGCTTCAATAGTCTTATTTATGCATATAATCCTCATAATTTTTTAATCATTTGGAATAAAATAACTCAACTGTGCTGTTTTGGAAAATTGATTTTATTGATAAAAACAAAAGGATCATCGAATCTGGGGCTATTAGCGATAGAATACGTAAAGCTAACTGACAAAATTTTCATCTTTATCATAAAACACTGTTTTCATTTCAGACAAGCCACAATAACAGAAGGAAGTGTCGTTACCAAGACAACAGAAGAAAAAGTCGTTGAACCATTTTATTACATACTTGAAAAGCGTAATCAACAACCAAAAAGTGGGATATACAATAACATATTTCTTGAAAATCATTGTATTTTAAACTATAATCAACTTAATTTCGAGGGGACGCTAAAACAGCTGGTTCAAGACAGTACAAAAGTACTTACAGCAGATGAGAAGAGTATACATGAAAATGACTATGACACAATGAGCTGTAAACTACACCAATACGAAAAATTATCGCACGGGAAGATGCAAATATACTGTGTTCAAGGGTTGTACGAAACTATCACGTAAAGTCATTAAAATATTAAAATAACTTTTAACAACTAAATATGCTAATTATAAAATAATCTTGAAAACGTTATTGCATGTCATTAGTTTTACTAGTTGCCCTTTGGTATCAATCTTGATGCTAAGAATAGACCACCAAAACGGCTATCTACTCAAAAGCTATTCAATAACCAAAATACGAGGCATGTATGAGGTAGTTTTGGACATTGGGTAGGTGTGTGTTAGGACTGTCCAATCAGATTGCAGATCGTCAGATATAATTCGTCCCGCACGGTGTCGAGCGTGTGAATATCATCCACGACAAACACGTGAGTGTGGTCAGGAACTGTCGCCATCTTGTTTAGCTCAGGAATGTCCACGCTTCCAAAACCTTAAGTAAAAATACATGTATAGGCATAGATTGATTTCCTTTGTCTGTTTTACGACCAATATTCGTTAACATTGGCTATAATGAATTTGTCTTTCATTTGCCAGTCTATTATAGATAAATTGGATAAAATATTCAGATAACAATATTGGTACTCCCTATAAAACTACTTCGACATATCCTTAAGGAAGTATATCAGTGTTTCAGATTTTTCTGAGAATTTCGGTTGTAGTTGAATTTGTCTAATATACATGTACATGTTATTATAAGAACATATTACTACATGTATAAATCTGATTTTAAAAAAAATTCGGGTTATTATATTTTATATTAATATATATATTATGTCTTGATAAAAATATTGTTAATAAAAATGATGAAATCTTGACGTTTGAGGCAATGTGATATATGTAATGTAGTATAACATACCAATAGAGAATATTTCTATTCCTCTGAGTTTGACCAGCTTTAGGACGTCGTCTAGTTTATATGGATTCGTGGACTGCCCATCTGTCATAATCACACCTGTAATAATTCTCATTTAAAAAATTGATGTTCCAAAAAAAAAAAATTAAAAAATTCTGTACTATATCCGATATCTAGGAGTGCTTTATTACTTTATTTCCTTATACTTTTTATTTCAGCAAGATTTTGTCAGAGGTTCATTTCAGTTTAATCCCCATTCAATACATGTATTCGAAATTTTGAGTGGTCTTCATAAAACATTTCTCATTGAAAAAGTTTATCGGCATATGCATATACTTTAAATTTTATAGAGACGGGTTGCAATCGATAGAACATTTCAAATGGACTGACAGTTTAAGCTTCGTGTTTCCTCTGCTAATTCATATAAAACTTTGCTTTAACGCTGATAAATATTCAAAAGAAATGTAACTTATGAAGTAATGCCTCTTCAGGCTACCTTGCATAGCAAATTAAAAATAAAGAAGATGGGGGGATAAGGCGGGCAGAATGCCTATAGCGCAACAGATAAGAAGTGAAAAATTTATTCTCAATTATATCCAAATAACTTACAAAAATCTCACAAAGACTGAAAATATTTGCCTATGAAAAAGCATACACAGACTTAAAAGAACAAAAACGATTATTTTTTCATACTTTAACAAAATGTTTCAATATGAGTGGGTCTTCACTCCATTTTTTGAAAGATAATCCTAAAAGTTTGCGATAAAATAAATATTTTTTGGTTTACAAAAAAAAAATGGAGCGAAGACCCACTATACCTTAAAAGTACGCTTTTATGACAAAACATGCGCATCTTTCCGAGAAATACTTCAAGTCCATTAAGTCAAGGGTCATATCACAAACATGATTTAAATGCCCCTACACATCATGAGCCGTATAGCATAGTGGTTAGCGCGTTAGTCTCAAAGCAATCTGATGCAAAGGTATTTTGTTACTGGGGTTCGAATCCCACGTATACCATCGAATATTTTTATAAACGAAATTTTTAAAGATATTTATTTTCTCTCCGAAAATGTTTTTTTTTCCTCGTATTTTCATAAATTTCAATAATGATATGCAATTTATATACTCAATTTATATATCAAATGTGATTTCTTGAAATCTGACGCTATAGGCATTCTGCCCGCCTTATCCCCCATCTTCTTTCTTTTACTGCAAACATTTAAAAATATAATGATTATTCATTTATTCCAATGAGAGTTGTCTCTCTTAGCAGATGGGTTAATGAACCTTAACCTTAATGAAAGTTACATGTAGGAAATGGTACAGGTGTAACGTATATAAATCGGTCATTGCATTCATTTTACCAGTACCATTAAGTAAGAATTCACTGCACACTTTTTACCCCGAGAAAACTTATAGTTGAAGTGGATCACTTAGAAAGTATGTGCACTTGAAAAAGAATTTACGCTCTTAAAAATATTTAAACGAAGGAATCTAAACATATCGTCAACGTCAAACAAGGATACATTTACAGACCTTAAAGAATTAAGTTTTAATTTTTTGTTTAAAGTTTTTGTAAGGAAACTCTTGGTAACTGCATCATAAAATCCAACATCTTTCTAGTTATACGAAAATATAGAAATAGAAAGGTATTTTCGCAAAGGCAAATATTGCAATATATTCCTAACTCAGACAAATTGCTCTTATAAATAAGTACATGTATTGATTTTTAATGAAATATACCGTAATGAATTCAGAAATAAAACATAGCATCTAAGTGCATTTTTTTTTACACAAAACTCGTGAGCGGACGATTTCATTTCTGATATTAAAAAAAATCCCAATCTTACAAAAAAGTGAATGGTACAAGTTATATAGTTATCCATTTCTGCATCATATAATATTTAAATATTTATCATTACACATGTAAGAGAATGTTGCTCCGCTCACTATACGCATTATATTATCAATATTTCTTTAGTATGGTGACTACAAGGCTCTTACCCACACGAGGTACCGTAAGGGGGCGTGGGGAGGCAGAAAATCCCTGATTTAGTAAAATTTCAAACGCCTTATGAGTATACGTATTTCCAAGTGAGAATTTGATATTAAGCAGTGCGTCTTGTAAGCTCCTTTTGTCGTTGTGAGCAGAGAGTCCAAATTCTAGCTGGGCGTCCGTGCTGAAGGATATAACGCCCACCCTCACATCCTGGGCACCCTGTCCAATGTTAAACCCCTCCACGAATCTGGCAATAAAGGAGAGCTCCTTGTCGAAGTTTGCCACGCTTCCGAGACTGGAGGATTTGTCCACAATGAAGAAGATGTCGGCAGGCTTGTTGTTACATCCTACAAGAAAAATATGATAAAGTTAATGTTTACCAAAACTCCACATTTTATCATTGTCAGTTTATTAAAAAAATAAATAATTTTCAATCGAATAGGAATACTAGCACTAAAACAGAATAGTACAAATAAATGGGTGTAATCAAACTAGCTTAGCTAATTAATTAAATTAAACTTTTACAGTATAAAGTCCTCTTTATAAAAAATTTCAGCAGTATATAAATTTACTGATTTAATCCACAGGGGCCTGTAACTTACTGTATTTGATTTTACGTAATCACTATATGTACACAAAAAGAGTCCTTTTTTGTATATACATGTATATAGTGATTACGTAAAATCAAAAACAGTATGTTACCGGCCCCTGTGATTTAATCTGATTGAAAATTATTTTGTTTCATTAACTTAATCCTGACTTCCTATCAATTACTAGGGTTTTAATTTTGCAAATATTTAGGACATACACCCTGTTTTACAAACATGTCTGTTAATTTTATGAACATGCATCTTGAAAAATGCTTTAAAAAGTTTAGGACATTTAATGTATTTACAGATATCAAATTAAAAAAAATCCTATACAATATAGAGATTTGTAGGAGAAGAAAATGAGGTTTGAAATCGAAAAGATGATTTCTGTCATTATTTTGTTATGTTTGCAATTAGTTTCCTTTGTAAAATTGTCTTCCATACATTTAAAAACACAATTGTTATATATTAAATATTCAACATTTGTTTTCCTCTTGATATTCTGTACTTAGTGTGCTTAAATGTAAAAGAGCATCAATTGGCATACGTATACCAGTACAGTGCAATGCAACACAAAGTGAACGAGTATAAGAGTGCTCGCAATAAAATCGTGAACAAAGAAGTACACATGTACCTACGCCGTCTTAGAGGACCTAAAGGATTAGAAAAACAGTAAGATTATCACAAAATGCAGCTTTTAATGAATTCTTGTCAAAACGTTCTTGGCTACCAAAGCAAAAAATAGTTTCCAACAGAAATCATACTTTGACAAAATTCAGACTAACCCTAATAAACCCGTGATTGCTCTTCCAAACATTCAATACATGCATTAATTTGACATTTACTTGTATATGAAAACACTTTAATACTTATATAAATTAAATTTTTTTAGAATGATTACAAATACTAGTAAGTGGCAAACAGGACATACTTGCGCAGACTTTGTTAAGAAGTACGTGGAACAGTCTGGATTTCTCCAAGTCGTCGATGTCGTCCACGCGGTAGTAATTCCTGGCGCCACTCGATATCCCGATCATCTCCACGTGATCCACACGGTGTCCCACCCCAATACCGAACACCTCCACGCCGTGAAACTTCAAATCGTTAGCTTCCTGTCTCGTCAGGGACTTAGCCATCGGGAAAGTAAAGAGATCGTACCTACCTAAATGTGCAAATTCACCATTTATTTTAACATAAAGATGACTAAATCGGTAACTCTTGCAGAGACAGAGCTCGTGCAAGAAAGAAAATCAAACACGTTTAAAGTTGAAACAAAGGCAACATTTTGTGGATCTACATATGTTTTATCTCCTCGCAACGATGTTGGGAGAGGGGGGGGGGGGTTAGTAATGATAGCGTGTGTGTGGGTTACTTGGTCCTTTGTGCTAAACGGAAGTGAGGTAATTTGCATTGGAATCGATGTTGAATAGTGCTTTGTTTAATATAAATGCTTTTTTGCAAATGGATGCTCCGCTTAGCGTTGATCTTGCTGGTTCTTATTCATGATGTACGTATTAAAATATTCAATGTGGAATTGAAAATGTGAAATAAAATGAATGTTCAACAAATCAGATGTAGCCAGGATGTTAAGGTACTCTTGAAATATTCAGTATGTTTTTTAAATAGTTTACACATGTGCACAAATTCTCAGGCGTGATAGGTATATGCAATTTGTTCTTAAATATGAAACAAATGGAGGCTCCTCTTATACGGTAAATAAAGTCTTCCATATAAATAGTTTTTCAATGCAGATTTGAAAAGCATTCAATTTAAATGAACTTGGGGAATATATGCAATTTGTTCTTAAATATGAAACAAATGGAGGCTCCTCTTATACGGTAAATAAAGAAAGGTTTGGTTCCATGCTTATAGGTACCTGGGTTCGTCTCTCCGTCTGTCAGAATGACTGCAAGATTCTTCACGTTGTCTCTGTCGCCGGCCTGTCGAACAAACACTTCCTCTCTAGCTTGCTTCAGTGCCCTGTATATAGTGGTACACATTCCGTCCGTGTACGGGATACTCCTAATAGCCCTCAGTACCTCATCCTTCGTCTGATATCGGTTAAAGTCGAACTCCAGTTTGCTGCCAGCACTGAAGGTTATCACGGCTACTTTGGTTTTGTTCGGTCCTATCTCGTACCGCTCTAAGACCCGCTCAACGAAGTGGAGTTCCTTTTGGTAAGCTTGTAGACCCAGACTTCTGGAGGTGTCGATAAGGAATGCAATGTCGGCATCCTGAGAACAATCTGTTGTCAAGTATGTCAAAAAGGTGAGGGTTCATAAAATACTTCTAATTCAAATTAAAGACATAAAAATATAAGGCACAGACCGGAAGGTTATATGTACTAAATTAATTTGACCTGTATAATATTAAGTTTTTATAGTCTATTAATGCGTTTGCATTTACGAAGGTATGACTACATGTACATGTTTTATGTCTACAACTGTACCTGTACTCGAAGACTCGGCGAGGTTAAAGATCAGTTGTGAGTCTGTGTTACCTAGAATATAAATTAATCGTAATAAATGATTTCTTAATTTGACTGGTAATAAAGTTTTGATTTCAGTACATTCTACAACATTCAAGTATACATGAATAATGTTTTTATTTGGCTACCTTTATTATGCACTTGCATTCTTTTAAACAATGCAATTGATATTCTCGTTTCATCAACTTGTTTGTCAATAACTTAAACCTCGTTTCAGAAATTTTTCATACGTAGAGCAGGCTCTTATTTATCGAATCAACTGAGAGATCTTAACCCCATGCGCAGGTGATGAGAGTATATTGCTACATACGTAAGGGAAGTTGAAAAAAAGTAAGTAATAACGTTTATTAAAAAGTCTCGGTTGTTGTGTTACTATTAACGCATTTTCTGGTAAAATATCCAAATATGAAACAATATGTCAGACTTAAATCTTTAATTTCAACCTCACTGGGATATATCCTGTCAACATAAGAATAGAAATAGTACAATTCTCTGTTATCCTTGGACTTTCAATAAGGCGTTGCATTCACGACGTTACATACTTAGCGTTTTTATTGAAAAAGCAACTGTCAATGATTTCAAAATGCCTTAAAACTTTAATTTAATGTGGGGAATGGTTGCATACAGAGTTGAAAAGTAGGAAGTTTTGATGTTTTTAATTCTGGTAAAATTTGGTGTTTTCTTTTCCAAAAGTTCCTTGGTATTTTTAAGTACGCCTGTATCCACATCTGACCAAACGAGTAAACTTTTTTGATCGACATCGTGTATACCACGTATTGCAAGATACCAGCAAAATTATCAAGAATTTCTACTTGCTCCATCTTTCTTCATGGATAAGCAAACTATCTTTGCGAAAAATCTTTAAAATCAACACTTCAGAATTACGCCACTCTAAGTGTAAACTTTTCGGCTTAGTCCCCTCTCACCGTGTTTTGTTGGTATATCAGATAGTTAAACAAAAACCTGCTTCTGTCATTACCTTAATACACATTGCTACCATACATCTCGTTAGTGTAGCACAACAAAGTAACAATTTAAATTTGAGAGCCATTTAGTTTTGCTGTCCGGATCAGTAAGGAGTCAAGATTATTTTTGTATAATAATTTTAAGTACATTGAAGTTTACTAAAATCTTGCAGACCCATCGTTGGTTTGAAATACTAATTAGTGTGTTCATTATTCTGTAACTTTCAGAAGATAAACCATCAAAATGGAACTGTTTTCTTAATATGAAACACACAGGAACATTGTAAAACATTAATAAGCTTTTTTTGACAATTACGAATTATATTTTTAACGTTTTTCAAAATACATGATAATACATATATAATAAATATAAAAAACATGGTTTTGTTGCCCCCCCCCCCCACCCCACCAAATATAAATTTTCGACATCTAGTAAAGAAGTTCTTACTATATTTTATAGAAAACTATACCCATTCGTGTTCTGATGAAAATTATGCTTACTTTCTTACATGGACTTTTTTAAAACCCTTGTTAAGAATTGATATATAGGATGGGCGAAAAATTGAATGTTCATATTGCATATATTTTCCATGTGGCAAAATATTATCCTTTCCTTAAATTTTGTCAGTATTTATGTCCGGGGGTAGGTGGGGGTAATGGACTTATTGCTTGTATACCTTGTTTGTGGCGTTTCATGATTAAGAGATGTAATATTCTCGAATAAAATATGCTTTTAAAATTGCTTATACATGTAATTTCGTTTTTATCATGGTGTAAGCTGTAGTTTTAATGGATGCACATGTAAAAGCAAGAATTGCAATTTTTGCTGCCTCCACCTTAACAATGTGATGGCCTTCTCGTATTCGTTTTTCTTTATCATAATTTATATTAATATTTTTTTTTTTTGAAAAGTGCTAGTAGGCACATATAATCAAACAAACAGGTACGTTAAAATTTTTTTTTCAGTTTACAACAGAACGTTCAAATCTACACCCCCTCCCCTAATAAATAATTATTCAAAAATGCGAAAGTGTTAGTACATCATATACATAGACAAAAAAAAGCCTTACCTAGCCAAATGAGTATCTACAATAGAAAATGTGAAACAGATTTTCAAAAAATGCATAGAAAATTTCAAATTTAAAAGAACTTTTGCACTTTGCGAATTGGAACATGTATGCATCTAAAATTCTAAAAAATTGTTTTAAAAAAATGAAGCATTATATTACAGATATCTGTTTAAATTAGTTTTAAAAGAGAAAAAACTTAATTTGGTCAAAATAAATCAATGAATACATCTTCTACTTACCAAAGATAAAATGTTAATATATACATTATAGTTATCCATAATGGAAATCAAGGCAGTGTATGTTGATTATAGCTCGTTTGCGTATTTGAAACATTGTGATAACATCATGCCGAGCTATTACTTCATGGGACCCTATTTTTAAAAGACTCCAGATTATCTTAATTTGGCTTAAATTTGTACACTTGGTCTGTTATGACCACTTACACCGTTAAACGGATTGACGGAAAAATCCGGATAGAATGAAATTCTTCTATCAATGAAGCCGATATCGTTAGCGTGTACTGTTTACCTAACCCCAAAGCCTTGTCATTTTTGTTTAAATGTCTGAATTAATTGGATTTTAATATGATTAATTTCAGGTGGTCAGTATGAATGCTTTCAATTTTTGAAAAATCAAAGAAAAATATTTTACCACAAACTTTGGCAAGAGTGTGAAAGCTCTCAACAATATTAAAATTCATATAGATTGATCCTTATTAATCTCATTTATTGATGTCTTATGAAGTGGCGAAGGATTTTCAGTACTATAAAGTCGTGAAAGTGTTTGTGATTTAGTAAAAAATGTTTCAAACAGGAGTAGGTCGTTAAAATTGAAGCTAATGATCTTCAGATAATAATTTACATTGTAATTTAAAAATCAGCAATGATATAAAGACTTTCAATATTTAAAAATAATGTCTGTTTAACACATGAAGGGATAAATACTTTGAAAAAATGAATTTAATATCAAAACAAGAATATGTTTAAAATTAATTATAGATCTTGTGGTAAATATTCTAATTTTAGTTTTGACACTTTGTTCTGCTTATTCAAATAAAAAATCTTGGATAGTTTGCTGGTTTTACGACAATATCCCAGAATATAGGTATATTAATCTCTACAGGCACGAAGTGGGGGAGGGGTGACAATCTGTTTTTAAATTCTGTAGTTTCACATACAAGAAATACTTAGTCTTTCTTATACGATAAATGGACCAATTCAAGATATAAAACATGAAAAAAAAATATTTCTCAAAAAACAAAATGAACATCATAATTTTCTTAAGGACATATCAGTGAACTTGCTGGCATCGTTCAATTTTTGCAACAATTTTTATATGACATTGAAGTTAATGCTTGATCAAGACCATTTTTTTTTGTTTCTGATGTTCAGTATATAACACTAAAATATGATTCAGTAATTTTCGCATGAATCCGAAATTAAATTCAAATTTCGGTGAAAATATCGTTACGGATGTTAGCGTTACGGAAGTTAATTCCCCAGCAATAAAAGTTAAAATTTTCTATCTCGGCGATAGTTAAAATCAAAGATTGTGTTAGGATTTTAAATAAAAGTATGAAGCATTTCGCTCCCAAAATAATAAAAAAATTGTATACCTTTAATGCAAAAACTTTCCTGAATTACCGTTACGGAAGTTAAATTTTTAAGGGAGACAACAGTTTTTCTGTAATTAATTTTGTTTTAATATTTCGAGAATGTAATCGTCTAAAATAGCCGACTCACTACTAGAATCAAAGATATAAGATTCCGTGGTCACTTTCAGATGGGTTTCAGTTCTTTTTGAAATCTGCTTTCTAATCATGAAATTTAAAACAAAATCGTTATGGAAGTTAATGGATTTTTAGCAACATGCAATGATTTCGCATGAAAGAAGATGCATGCATTTCTTTGCGAGAAGTGGTTTGGTTTCTTTTTATACAGGATAAAAAAACTTTTTTTTAACATTCATCGCAATCTGTTTGGAACTCTTTTACGGCTGAGAATTTCATCTTGAAATTGTAAATGAATGACATGAAATGAAGCGACACATAGTGAGGATTTGCAGTTTTTCAACATTATTTTTTATCAAAACGTCAGTCTTGAACCGCACATTAGATAAATATTCAAAAACCGTGTGTGTATATTGAGACTTATCGATCATAATATGTGTAGTCAGGATATTAGAACGGTATATTTGTAAGCGACATAGAAAAATCTTAATTGGACATGTTTTGTAGAATGACTGTTATGCACAGAATGGGGGGGTCTTCACTCGTCGCTCGTTCTATACTTACTAAGTTCTTCTGCAATCTAACAGTCTAAGTCAAGTAAAAATGTGAGGGTCGTACTCCATCAAATAATATATTTCATTTAAATTTTTTAGACAATTAATAATCAAAATTCATAAAATAAATTTAGAATGAAAAAACTTTAGAGGACAAAATGTGACGTGGATGGGGTTTTTTTAATAGGCATTAAGGGTTTTTTTTATCTGTTTTGGCAAAAATTATAAAATCTTGCCCGGAACCCCAGCAGCTACATGTTTTAGGTCTGTTAGAGCTCTGGTTCCCCTCTCTCTTGAAAAAAAAAAAACTGGTTCTTTTTGCAAATTCTTTCAGGCGTGAAGTTTCGCGGGAACCAGATAATGTTTTTCTTCACACGTGGGTTGCATGCAGTTTCAGTGTCTGAATTTTAAACCATGGCAAACAGCGCTGGAAATTTAGGTAAGTTAAAAAAATCTTTGATATTTCACCTTTTTTCATTTATAACACATTCTTGTGGCTTTTACAATTGGTAAAAGCGTGGTATTTTTATGTTTACACTTCTTGTTTGTGAGATCACACGTGGTTGACCTGAGAGCTAAGTCATTACCCTTATTGACGGTCTTAGAATCATTGTCAGCATATTTCTTATGCACTTTCGTGACTTTGTCAATAAATTATGTCACAAGCTGGACAAAATAAGGCCATTTAAAGTTTTCTCAGCCCCCCCCCCCCCCACACACACACTGACTTACATGTACCTAACCTAATTACCTATTCACTATAAACATACAAGTCAAAAATTTTAACACAAAGACTTTATTAATCAGAAAAATAATGTTATCCAAAGGATTAAATTCTATATATTAGTTTATTTTTTCTCAAAGATCTACTCCAAGTAAAATCAAAAAGTTTTCATTTCTACTTTTAGACAATTATTTGAAATTGAAAGATTTAGAATGTTTTGCAGAAAAAAAAATAATTTCAAGACTCCTAGTTTTGTTTGTTTGTTAATTATTCCCTCTGGTGTGTAAAAAATCAGGGCACAAAAAAAAAACTTAGAATGGCCTTAACTATGCTGTACATGTACAATAGACCTATATGTACTATCTATCATGTTTTGTCAATCGACACCTTTCAAGGCTTTCACGCAAATCATTGCCTGCATGTTAACAACTGCTTTTTTTGGCTGTTTTTAACTGATGGTGCATTTTTTCCCTGTTTTGTTCACACTGCAGACCTGCCAAGTGACCCGCATTCGGTGGGTCACACCCGCAAAATTGACCTCTCACCCCCCACTCATAATGACCCGCGGCGTGTCATTGTTTTCACCCGCAATATCGATCATCCCAACTTTTTGACCCAATATTAATTAAGCATGTTTGTCTCAACAAGAAAGATCTGAAAATTCATCCTAAAATTTCCGATTTGTGTTTTATAAATCAGGATATGAACATCTTGTTTATTCAATGCACACAGATTAGTATCTTTGTTTGCCGAGGTGTAAAAAAAATGTTAATTAGCCACAGGAAATCACTTCACGCTTGATCGCAGACTGACACAGCTGTACAGGTAATATGCCTGGAGCATTTAGGGGATTATACGTAACCATTTGAAGGGGTATATGCATGGTGAAACACATAGATTTAGAGGTTAATTAAATATCATTTTATTAAAAACAGAAATTAATTAATTAAATACAATGATATGATAAACATCGGGATCTTTTTTTAAAAACGAAAGTAAAAAAACGAAACTACAAAGCATAACTGATAACAGCTGATTTTATCAGCTCTCGTATATTGAAATTATTGTTAAGAGTAGTGGTTAAAAGAAAATGATATTAATTAAGATAAAGCAAAAGAGTCTAAAGTGAAGTATATTGAATTTCTCCCCCCCCCCTCCCAAAATGTAGTATTGTACGTTGTGTTTCTTTGTTAAATGGCTATGACAAGGGAATATCCACTTGTCAGTCACATCATGACTCTAACGATTTTAAGTTTTTGTTTGGGGTGTTAGGTATCCTTCATAATTTATTTTGTAGTATTTGATTCATTTAATTTTTTTGTGTGTGTTTTAGAATTAATAATAGGAAATTAGATGGCACATATTTCTTACCACCACCCCCTGCAGCAGCAATTTTTCAATATTAATCTTTCAATGTAATGTCTAATTACAATTTTCTGATTGTGTAATATGTTGAAAATTAATCATTGTAGAATCTAACAAATGTTTCCCAGAAACTTTTTAAATTTTTAAAACTTTGCAAAAATTCTATTGAACTAAAAGTATCTGAATCTTAATACTATCAATCTGAAAGTGTTCTTATACAAGCAATTTTAAGTAACCGCTGTCCTAAGTAAAAATTAAGTCTGCAATAAAATATAACATATACATGCATGTGTTTGACTGTTTGCATTGATGCCTAAAAATTAGGGAGCATTTTGTTACTCAAACCTCAACAAAAATGTCGCCGCGCGCTATGACCCAACATTTCAATTCTGAATGTTGGGTCATGACCCCCCACAGCATCAATTTTGGTTGGCAGGTCTGACACTGTGAGGAGCTATCATATAATTTTCAGCATAGTAATAATTGATAAGTCACAAAATGATGTAGGTAACATGATATAAGGATGTGGTAAATGAGAATGAATTCAAATTACTTTGAGGGTGGAGAAATTGAGGGGAAAAAACAGACACCCCCTCCCCCCTTCTATCCTAACCCATAATTTTTTTAAGATTTGCCTGCAAATTGGCTGCAATTAACTTATACTTCAGAAGCAGGGATCAAAATTAATTTTATTTCCGCTTTTCCATTGGTTAAAAATTCTTAAAACATTGCCAAACATTATTTCTGTGACCGCGCGCTGGTCTGTCTTAGACATAATTTGGCGGTGCACTTTCATTTGGGGAATTTAGCTCAAGGGTTTGGGGAATGTTAGGAAACACATAAGTCCAATTTGTAGGGTTAACAATGACAGTTTATTAAAGTAATGATGAATTCCAACAACATAACCACATAAAGTTGCAAGTCCAATTCCTAACTAAAATTTAGATAATGTTGGCCTAAATAGAAATAAAATAATAAATGTTTCTTAGTCTAATTCCCTACATGGTTCTTAACACATCAGCTCACTAGCTCTGTCACTCTCGATCTCTCTTAACTCTCTGTATTCTCAACTATATATTATTAACTAATTGTAAGGAATTACTCAATGTGAAAATAGCCATAGGCAGAACTTATCAAATAAACAATTTAAACAATAGACTACTCAGGTGTCATCCTTTGATGCCAGGAAGTCAAAGAAGGTTTATTTAATTAACCTAACACCTAATCAGTGACCATTGCCATCAGGCAGTTTGAGTGTCAATAATTAACAATTACTAAGAAAGCACTAAATATTTGAGGGGATTAAGAATTAGCCAGATATTGGCAACTGTTTCTGTTTATTTGTCCTTTTGTTCTCTTGTGAGTTTCTGCAATATCATGGTCTAATTTATTGAAGAAGGCTTTGAGTAAATGGCCTGGAACTTCTCTTGCACGTCTGTAACCTATACCTGCCTGGTAGTTTCCATTATCATCAGATAGAAGGAAGCCAAAGTTGGTTTCTTTCCGATCAATCATTGCTGCGATGATTTTTTTGTTTGCTCTTTTGCATTGGGTTTATGGTTTGAATTGTTCCTTGTTGGTCAAAAAATTTCTTGTTTCTCGGTCGCTTTCTTTTCTTTCCCTTGGCATTGTAAAGGGAGTGGAAATTGTCTTTCAGTTCTTTTGGAATTTGACTGCCATCTTGCCATGAAGTTTGAGATTCATCCTTGAACTTTAGTTTGTAAATGGGTTTACCTTGGTATAAACTGTACTCGAGAATTTTCTCAATTTCCTCGGCAGAAAATAATCTGGTTTTGATCTGCGCATTGTTTTGCTTTGACGTATTCGTTTGCTTTGACATATTCTTTTGTGTTGATTCTTTGTGTTTGTTCTTTAGTTTCGATGCTAGTGGATGGGGTAGTTGATTTTGTTGCTCAGGAACTGCATCTGGAATGCTGTGGTCCTTGTTAACATTATCGTCCCCATCAATTTCATCCTCTGAGAGGTTCTGATCAGTATTGTGAGGTTGCTGAACATCTTCAGCATTATCACCTACTATTTCCTCAGGATTGAGCATGACGTCTTGATATTCTGGTAGGAAGTAGTAAGGTCTGTCATCGGGGCTGTGATAATCTTTCAATCTCTTAGCGTGGACAAGACTCTTCAGAATTTTGTGGTCTGAGTCTCTTCTGAGTTTAAAAGTGTGGTTTGGTCCCTGATAAATGATTGAATATGGACCAACCCATTTCTGTAAAAGCTTTGGAGATTTTCCTTTGGGAACATGACTACAGTACAGCCATACTTTGGATCTGACCATGAAATCTGGCTCCTGTGCATTCTTGTCATGTTGCTGGGTGTATTTTTGTTGATGGAGTCTGATGTTTTCTGCAGCAATTTCTCTGCACATTTTGAGTTGTTCTAGAACACGCATTAGATGTAGCTTTGGTTCTTGTGCCATGGATGGCTTAGGTATTAGCGCAACATCAACAGGAAGGCGCATTTTCTGTCCAAACAACAATTGGAATGGTGAGAACATTGTCGACTGTGTAGCAGGTGTTGATCTGTATGCCATAAGAACAGCTGGAATGAATTTCACCCAGTCTGATTGGTCTTTGTTGCAGTATGTCCTTAATGTTTGACTGATGAATGAGTTCATTCTTTCACAAGCTGCATTTGTCTGTGGGTGATAGGCACTGGTATAGTGTCTGGTGACCTCAAAAAGTTCACAGAGAGCTTGAACGAGTTTCGACATAAAATTTTGTCCTCTGTCGGAGATTAGCGTTCTTGGTGCTCCATATCTAGCAAATATCTCGGCAAAAAGTACTCTGGCAACTTCAGTAGCTTCCATGGACTTTAACGGGAAAGCCTCGCACCATTTGGAAAAGCTGTCAACAACTAATAGAAGATAGCGGTCTTTGTTTGGTGTCATTGGTAGTTCTAAGAAGTCCATATGCCATCTGGTAAATATATCCTCAACGGGAAGTGGCGTCAAAGGAATTGGTCTCTGATGTTTTGAGTTCTTAGACTGCTGGCAGGTTTCACAAGTTTTAATATATTTTTCAATGTCTGCATACATATTTGGCCAGTAGTATTTTGCACGAATGGTAGCATATGTGCGTTCATGGCCTTGATGTCCACCACCAGCAATGCAGTCATGAAATGAAAGTAGTATGTCATTTCGCAGGGGTGTGGGGACACAAAGTTGCTTCACAGGGCTCTGGTCTGGTGATTGATTTCTCGTGCGTTCCTTGTAAAAGTGAAATAGAAGTCCATTGGTTATTTCAAAATGGAAAGCTTTAGCAACAATTGCAGTAGCTTGTTTAATATTTTGTGGCAAGGTTTCTGATTTCTTGTAGTTGATAATTGCTTGAAAGTCAGGGCAATTTTCTTGCAGATGTTGTAGATTGGGATTGTCTGAGACAACATCATCATGCTGATCTGCTGCATTCAAGGCAAGAATATCAGGTTTCTTAGGGGCACTGTCATCTGGATATTCGAATGTGGCTGCAATAAACTGTTTCCTAGTACATTCAATGGATCCGATGGCAGGTAGGTCCTCATCAGAGTGCATCCGTGGCGGAGTTGTAGGAGGATAATCTCGACGAGATAGACAGTCTGCGTTTAGGTTTTTCGTTCCAGGACGATGTTGTATTCTGAATTTGTACTGTTGTAGAAACAGAGCCCAACGTCCTAGTCTTCCTGTTGCATCCTTGGTGTTGTCTAACCATCGTACTGTAATATTGTCTGTGAAGACTGTAAATTCTGCACTGGTGAGATAAGCCTTGAATGTTTTGATGGCCTCAATCAAAGCAAGCCCTTCTTTATGGTTGATGTGCCATCGCTTTTCTTGGTCCCGCAGTGCAAGTCCACCAAAAGCAATAACATTTTCCAGTCCTTGTGAGTTGATTTGCCCCAGGACATATCCTATCGCAGCATCAGATGCATCAACAGATAGAACAAAGGGTTTGCCAAAGTCTGGAAATGCTAGAATTGGTGCAGTTGTTAACTTTTTCTTTAAAAGGTTGAAAGCATCAGTGTGTTCTTGTTTCCACTGGAATTTGATGTTTTTCTTCAGGAGATTTAACAAAGGAGCACAAATTTTGCTGTAGTCTTTGATGAATTTCCTGTAGTAATTGCACATTCCGAGGAAACTGCGGACCTGTTTGGCATTCCGTGGTTGAGGAAAGTCAGCAACTGCAGAAATTTTGGCTCGGTCTACCTCAACACCTTTTTCTGAGATAATGTGTCCAAGATATTTGACTTCTTGGGCAGCAAAATGGCATTTAGCAGGCTGAAGAGTTAAATTGGCTTTACGAAGTTTTTGAAAAATGAGGTCTAAATGTTGTAAATGTTCATCAAAATTTTTAGAGAAAACCAAAATGTCATCAATGTAAATGAGAGCAATTTTCCAGTTCAGTTCCTGAAGCACTTTTGTCATTAGCATTTGGTAGCTTGTTGGAGCATTTGTTAAGCCGAAAGGTAGCCGTTTAAATTGGTATAGTCCTTGGTGTGTAATAAAGGCAGTTTTGTGTTTTGTTTTCTCGTCCAAAGGCACTTGCCAGAAACCACTAGCTAAATCTAACACACTGAAAATTTTGGATTTTGAGTCGGCTATTGTGTCAAACACTTCGTCAAGTTTTGGAATGGGAAATGAAACAAGCTCTGTGATAGAATTTAGTTTTCTGTAATCTACAGCAAATCGGTATTGTCCATTGGCCTTTTTGACCATAACTACAGGACTTTGGTAGGGAGAAGTTGATTCCTCAATAACACCATGTTTCAGCATTTCGTGAATTTGTCGCTCTGTCTCTTGCCGCATTTGTGGATTTTGGGCGTATCTCGGTGTTCGGACAGGTTTTTCTGTGTTTGTAATAATTGCATGTGTCTGGAGGTTTGTTTTTCCCAGTTCGGAGGTATCTTTGGCAAACACATCTCTGTTTTGTCCAACTAAAGTCAAGAGTTGTTGAAGTTGTACAGCCGTAAGGTTTTGTTCCTGAATGTTTACACCGAGTTCTTTGGCGATAGATGTATAATCTGTAGTGGCCATAGTCTGTGTAGTGTCTAGAGTTGACACACATGCAGAGTGTACATTGTCAATCGAGATGATGTCAAAGTTAGAATCGATGTGAAAAACTTTCGCCACAACTGAATTTGCTTTGATAGCAACTGATTCATTAAGAGGATTTAGGATCCTGTATGAAACTGTGTCTTTTACACATGTAGTGATACATCTGCTTCCGACCAGATTCTTATTCACAAGAAGGTTCACTGGTTCAAGGAAGACTTCAGAACCATGAGGAATATTAGAAACTGATAGGGTGATTGTTGATTCAGAAAGAGGTGGTAATTGAATTTCCGACTTTGTACGAGCAAGGGAAATATGTTGATTTCCATCATCTTTGTTGTTTGGGGTAGTAATAGAAGCAATGGTTGTCTCATTTTGAAAAGAAACACAATGGTTTGTAAGATCTATGACTGCTTTGTTTTGTTCCAAAAAATCTTGTCCTAAAATGAGGGTTTGGGGCAGAGTTTCTAGGATGTGAAAAGTATGGGGCATTTTCAACCCATTGACATCAATATCAAGGTCTGTTGTTCCCAGAATTCTATGAGATGTGTCGCAAACACCTTTGACATATGAAAAATTTGATTTTGAAACATGGGGATTTTTGAAAATTTTCCTAAGAAATTTATTGCAAATTACCGAAATGATAGCACCAGTATCGATTAGAGCACTGGTATGAAAGTTTGAGATTTTGACTTGAATTTTGTTTTTGTTGGTGATAGCTGTTGAAATAGAAGCTACAAATTGGTGAGGGTGTGACGGGAGGGTGGTAGATGGATTTCTATCTGAATAAGCCATTATCGTGAAAAATACAGTAAATAAAACAATCTAATAAAAATAATAGAAAGTTATACACTGTGTCACATGTGATAGTAGTGGCTGTACTCACCAACAGGAACTGGCAGGCTGTCTCTGTATGGATTTGATGGCAGGGCTCCTTTCTTTAGAAGAATGTCAGAGTCACAAATCACAGTATCAACAACACAAAGGTCCTGTAGAAATCCAAGAGTTCCAGAATGTTCACATTATCTTACAGTGAGAGGAATTTCCAAAGGATTCGACCCGGATTCTCGACCACTCTGTGACCGCGCGCTGGTCTGTCTTAGACATAATTTGGCGGTGCACTTTCATTTGGGGAATTTAGCTCAAGGGTTTGGGGAATGTTAGGAAACACATAAGTCCAATTTGTAGGGTTAACAATGACAGTTTATTAAAGTAATGATGAATTCCAACAACATAACCACATAAAGTTGCAAGTCCAATTCCTAACTAAAATTTAGATAATGTTGGCCTAAATAGAAATAAAATAATAAATGTTTCTTAGTCTAATTCCCTACATGGTTCTTAACACATCAGCTCACTAGCTCTGTCACTCTCGATCTCTCTTAACTCTCTGTATTCTCAACTATATATTATTAACTAATTGTAAGGAATTACTCAATGTGAAAATAGCCATAGGCAGAACTTATCAAATAAACAATTTAAACAATAGACTACTCAGGTGTCATCCTTTGATGCCAGGAAGTCAAAGAAGGTTTATTTAATTAACCTAACACCTAATCAGTGACCATTGCCATCAGGCAGTTTGAGTGTCAATAATTAACAATTACTAAGAAAGCACTAAATATTTGAGGGGATTAAGAATTAGCCAGATGTTGTGTTGGTTTAGCTTCACTATTTGTGGACAAATGAATTAAGATATTAAGAATGATCAAAGTGAATGAATTTGATGCATGATATGAAAAATTATTAAGTAAAACAATTAAATATATGTAGAATTATCATCAAATGTGAAATAGGAGCTATTTCACTGGTGATATTTCAGAGGCTTTAATCCAGTTTCACAGGTTAGCTGTTGGCAAAAAGTGAAATTAACACTAATATTAAATGAAACAATAAACAGCTGTCCATTTTTAACATGTTCTCAATACAAAGGTAAAAAACCTGGGGGGGTTGGGGGTTGGGGGGGGGTGTCGTTTTGACTTAGATTGCCTGCACATGTACCCCTTAGTTTTCACTTGTCATATCAATTTTACTTGTTGCAGGCAATTGGAAAATTAATGAGGTCTATCCATCAGAATCCACTGAATTTTTAGCTTTTTACTTTCAGCTCTTTTAAGTGTATCAGACAAAACTGGCTTGACAGAATTCGCACAGAAGTTATCTGCCCTTGGTCTGAAGCTTGTGGCATCAGGAGGGACGGCCAAGTGTATTAGGGATGCTGGGATACCCGTCAGGTAGAAAAAGACAACCCATTTATTTATATGTTTGAGACTATATGAAACTGTAAGAAACCACAAGTCAACTTAATGAAATTATGAATGAAATGGATTCATTGATACTGTATTATGGGAAATGAAACTCATACTTCTGTATTCAGCAAACAATGCTTTAAAGGAAAAAGATCTGTATCATTCTCAAATGTCATTCAGTCCTGAATTTATTGTTGTGCATTTCATTATATAATATAAAAACTTAATTACCATTATAAGAAGTATATTACCTTTCAGTGATGTGTCAGAAATCACAGGTGCCCCTGAAATGCTTGGAGGGAGGGTCAAGACTCTACACCCCACAGTTCATGGAGGTAAGTTTGGAATGACTTATTACTTTACATTTCCTTATACCTTAAGTTTAAATATTGAAAATTCATTCAATGTTAAGGAATATCTGAAAGAGATTTAGTTCTAAATATCTTTTTGTTGTTACTGCATTATTATAAAATTTTGTTTGTTAATAGAATAAAAGATGACTACCTATAAATGCTGAAATGATTTTAGAAATCTGTGATTTGATACTGAAGATTGACCATTTTTTTTAACATTATTTTATTCTGAATATAAAATATGCTGGCACATTCTCCCCACATGTTTGGCATTTATTTCTTGTAGGTATTCTGGCCAGATTAACTGATTCTGACCAAAGTGACTTGAAAACACAGAACATTGAGATGATCAGGTATATTCACAGTTATGTCTGTAACTTTACTAAAACTAAAGCTAATGTGCCTTAAAATGACCCTAGCAATTAGGAAAATACATAATACAGCTCTGTACTAAGCAGATAAAAAACTGCAACTAAACACAGAAAAACATATCATATAGGGTTTTAATTTATCATAAATTTTTAAGAGCAATTACAGTAAAACTCATTTAGTACAAACATGGATATTGTGAATTTTTACAGAATCTGAAGTAGCCTGACAGATATTAAACAAGATCCATTTTATACTTTGTTGACAGGCTGGTAGTGTGTAACCTGTACCCCTTTGTCAAGACAGTTGCTGATCCACATGTTCTGATTGAGAAGGCAGTGGAGCAGATTGATATTGGTAAGATATTGTGATTGATGAAGAGAAATTTGTTCCCATAAAATGTGAATTTAAAAAGCATCTTCATAGTCCTTAACAAGACAGTACATGAAGCAAAAAAGTAAAATGTTTTTTTTTAAAACTTAATATTCCAGGTGGGGTGACACTGCTGAGGGCTGCAGCCAAGAACCACATGAGGGTGTCTGTGATTTGTGACCCAGAGGACTATAACAGGTGCGTAAGGGTACCAATTCACACCAAAACCACATGAGGATGTCTGTAATCTGTGACTTGGAATACTTCAACAGGTAAGTGGAGGTACCACTTCATGTCAAGAACCACATGAGGTCTGGGATCAGGGACCCAGAGGACAATAATAGTTAAGTAAGGGCACCACTTCAAATGAAGAACTGCAAGAGGGTGTCTGTAATCTGTGACCCAGAAGACCTTAACAGGTAACTAAAGGCACCACTTCAAGAACCACATGAAGATGTCTGTAATCTGTTATTCAGAGGACTATAACAGGTAAGAACACCACTTCAAGTCAAGAACACATGAGGGTGTCTGTAATCTGTGACCCAGAGGACTATAATAGGTGAGTAAGGTCACCACTTCAAACCAAGAACCACAAGGGGGTTTCTGTAATCTATGACCCAGAGGACTATAACTGGTAAGTAGGGGTGCCAGTTCAAACCAATAACTGCACGAGTCTGTGATTTGTGACCCAGAGTACTATAACAGGTAAGTAGGGGAACCACTTCACTCCAAAACCATATGAGGGTGTGACCCAGAGAACTATAATAGGTAAGAGCACCACTTCAAATAAATTTACACCCAGCTTATTATAGAACATAAGATGGAGCAAAACATCCAAACATATTACTATTTGATTTGGCAGATTTTGCAATCATATTGCATGATCCTTAAGTAAGTATGTCGAGACAAGAAGAATTTTGGTGTTGGCATAGTTCAAATTTTCCAACATCAGTAAAGGTGATGAAAATTTACTGATTTTTGTTCCCATTTATACTCTAGAATGAATAACAATATTTACTGATTATGTTGAATTTTCATAAACAGGGTTCTGGATGAGTTGTCTGATTCACCAAGTAAAGATACAACTCTGGAAACTAGGAAAATGTTGGCAGTGAAGGTGAAAGTCTTCCTTATCACATTGTGCTAGAAAGAAAAAGCCATATAGATATTGATTAATCATATTGTTTATCACTATTCATACTTTATTTAACTATGAATAATTCCTGCTTTAGGCCTTTAACCACACGGCTGACTATGATGCTGCTATATCAGACTACTTCAGGCGTCAGTATAGCTCTGGAACCTCCCAGCTAAGTCTGAGGTATGGGATGAATCCTCATCAAAAGCCGGCGCAGATATCAACCAACCTTGCTGAGCTCCCTCTCAAAGGTACATAACTCTTACTGAACACAGTTCAAAGGTACACAACTCTTACTGAGCACACTCAAAGCTACACAACTCTTACTATATACACCCAAATGTATAAAAACTGTAAACACACTCAAAGGTACATATTACTTATTCCTTAAAACGCCCATTCAATTTTTACTGAAAATATGAATTTTTTAATAAACAAAAGGTACATATCTCTTACTATTCTTTTAGTTGTGAATGGATCCCCAGGGTTCATCAATCTTTTGGATGCTTTAAACGGTTGGCAGCTTGTAAGAGAGCTAAAGGCAGCATTAGGAAAACCAGCAGCCACATCATTTAAACATGTCAGCCCAGCAGGTAGGTTTTCTCAGAAGGGGACACCACTTCAGGAAAAAAAATTGAAATAATGTTCCTTTTTTCCTCCAAATATTTAAATATTCAAAAACCTTTCAAATTTGAATTGAAGGTTAATTGATAAAAATTTCTTATGTACAATTTTTTTGAAAAAAAAAGACGAGCATAATCTGACTTGTTGATAGGTGCTGCTGTTGGTGGCCAAGGGATGTCAGAGACTGACAAAAAAGTGTGTATGGTGGAAGACATGGAGGATTTATCTCCCTTAGCAGAAGCCTATGCAAGGGCCCGGGGTAAGTATATCGATACATGGAGGGACCTTTTCTTTCACACAATGTTCATTTATGATCAGATGAGAAAGTTCGTTGTAATATATTATTGTGGAAATACGGGCACTTACATAGTGTGTCTGATCTTAAGAATCGAAAAGCTTGTTGGCTTCATATTGACAGATTGAGATTTTGATTTTCTTACTTAAGGAGCTGATAGGATGTCCTCCTTTGGAGATTTTATCTCACTCTCCGACCCCTGTGATGTACCCACTGCTAAAATCATCTCCAGAGAGGTCACTTTCACTTCTAACTGTATTTCATTTTCTAAAAAAAAAAATGATTTTGTTTCTTCTGTTTGAAAATAACACAAGTAGTGTGTCATTCATTGCATTTTGTTCCTAATATCAACTTCACATAATTCTGGCATGGTAATTTTCTTCCAGGGCATTAGTAGGTTTCAAGCTCTTATATTATTTCAGGTGTCTGATGGAATCATTGCACCAGGGTACCTCCCAGAGGCCTTAGAAATTCTGAAGAAGAAAAAGGGAGGCAAATACTGCATTCTTCAGGTAGAAACTTTCAAATGCAGTGTCTTCAAATCTTTACCTTGTTAAAATGAATTTGTTTTTAAAATTAAACTAATTAAATTTAATGAAATCTAATGAAATTTATTTTAATTTCATTTGGTGACTTACTCAGTTTATTTCATTAGATTGATCCTGGGTATGAACCCTTAGCTATGGAAACCAGGACAGTTTTTGGATTACAGTTACAACAAAAAAGAAATGATGCTGTCATCAATAGTGAAATGATGAAAAACATTGTAACAGCTAGGAAACAGGTATATCGTTACACATTAATTATAACATCTTTTGAATATTTTCTACTTTTTATCGACCGCTTCTTATCGTAAATTTGTCAAATTTAAACTTTATTAATACGGGAATAATGGCTGAAAATATTGCACAAAAATCACATAACCCGACTTATATGTTTGTTATTTTTTTTTTTCAGTAATAGCTACAATTGTTAATTCCAACACTAACAAATAAAGAAAGCATTCAGTAAAATCTTTCTGTCATATGATAAATTGAAACATTAAAACATTAATTTACTTGATGCACAGTACAGTAAAACGTGTTTAGTATGAACACTGATATTGTGATTTCACAGAAATAGTGAAGTTATCTTGGATCCCCAGCTATATAGATTTAAAAAATTGCTTATGAGGATATAACATATGGATATTGTGAAGTTCATAGGTCCCAGTGATTTCATTATAAACAAGTTTTACTGTATTAATGCAGTAAATTTACACCCACAGAGTGTTGTGGTCTATTCCAGCTTCTGTGGACACAATAATTTTCTGATTGTATTCTTTCTGTAATTAACAGATAAACAAAGAAGCTGAGGAAGACCTGATTGTGGCTTCCATAACTCTTAAATACACTCAGTCCAATTCTGTGTGTTATGCCAAGGGAGGCCAGGTAAGACTGGAGGACATTATTTCTCTTGAAAAGAAAATATATAGGCATTTATGATGATATACATAACAAATTATAGTCATTATTTATACAAGCTGAGCATTCTTACTGAAAAAGTTGACAAACACTACCTCGATCCACATGGCATATTTACAGGCCAGGGGATATATTGACCATTAAATTAAGCCATAAAAAAGATTTCCAATTAATATAAAAAATAAGTCATACATGTTTGTAAAAAAATGTTTCTATTAATTCAAGAACAAGATCATGAAGAGTTTAAGGCTACTGCAATAATAAATGCTCAAGTGATAAGTCAGGGACTAAAAGATTCAAATTGATTGAGGTTTATTTCATGAATTCTTTTCGAAATGATTTTTGACTTTAAAAACTATTTATTAGTTCCCTTGTGCTACTACTGACACATATTCTACAAGCTCTGACTGAAACTTGATAGCATTCGATATCACCTCTGGCTATAGTTGTCTTGACGACTTACATTTTGCTTATATACCATAATTATAAAGTAGTTTTCATTCACTGTGTAGGTGATTGGAATAGGAGCAGGGCAGCAGTCTAGGATACATTGTACAAGACTGGCAGGAGACAAGGCCAATAACTGGTATGATATCACACAGCAGAAGTTATCTCCCTTACATAGAGGGAGTTTTAAATGAATTTCTTTTCACATTTTACTTAGTGTTTTAGAGGGATGTATTTAAGAAACTGAGATTTTTCAAAACTGAAATTTTAAACTCATATATTGATATCTGCAGGTGGTTGAGACAGCATCCAAAGGTGATGACGATGCAGTTCAAACCTGGAGTGAAACGGGCTGAGAAAAATAACGCTATAGACCAGTACGTACTGGGACTTGTTGGAAAGGTGAGATATATTACAGGGAAAGCTTTTTCTAAGTTTCTTGAACTTATAACCAATCCTTTTGTGTGAATTATATGATAAAATATGTTCAAAGCATCAAAACAAAAGGTGAAACCATTCCAGTATTGGCTTTTGGGATAACAATGTGAAGTTTCCAATATTGTTCGAGGATCATACTTCTTTGTCTTTGTGTGGTTGTTTATTTTGTATAGTGATTATTTTTGTTAATTAGGACATGGATAAGAATGCCTGGGAGGCCATGTTTGAGATTATTCCAGCTCCTCTCTCTGAGGTAGGTGTACCTTAATAATGTGTAAGAAACCTCGACTCCATGTTCAGTGAACTGTACACTTGCTTGCCTCCATGGGTTGGGTTCAAATCTCTGTTGATTCACAATTACTGAGAAAATTATTTGGATTTCTTGGTTTACCTTTGATTGCACAGTTTATATATACTGTAATTTTTCTGTAGAAAATGTGTGACCAGGTACAAAGCAAAAACTTATCCCACATGGAAAAGTATATCTACAGATTGTTTTAGTGATTAAATGTAGCAAAAGGTTTATGTTCAAGTGTGCTTATTATTTTCATTATTTACAGGAAGAGAGAACGGAGTGGATTTCTAAGCTGAAAGGGGTATCCCTGAGCTCCGATGCCTTCTTCCCATTTAGAGACAATATTGACAGAGCAGTCATGGTATGTACTTGAAAATTTATTTAATTATTTAAGGATGTGACGAAGGTGACAATATGTGATGCAAACAAAAAAAGGCCATAAACAGATGAAATGATTTTATTTGTGATATGTCCATTGATTTTTAGACTGAGTGTTTGACTGTGTATTTTACAGAGTGGTGTGGAATACATTGTGGTTCCGGGCGGGTCCACTAATGATGCTGACGTGATAGAGGCCTGTAATCAGCACGGGGTGGTCATGGTCCACACAGACGTCAGGCTGTTCCACCACTGATGATAAAAATAACAAGATCTGACAGAAATCTCTCATTATCTAGCGAGGTGCTGCAAATTGTTTCAATTAAATGATCTCTGAAATTTTATTTTTGTGGATTATACCCTATTCTCAGTGGGAAAGGGTTAATTGTTGCAGTTTGGTTTGTAGAACTTATAAATCATGTTTATTGTTAAAAGCATACATGGTATGGATGAATTTACAAAGAAATTTGTATTTGTTTATTCCAGTATTGTGTTTATATCTTTTTCCTTTGTATATTTTTTTTTAATTCATTTCATAAAAAGAAAATTATGAAATTGACAATTTTTTGCCAGTAAGATTTAACAACTACACAATCACAACAAAAATATCAGTCTTTGAAGTGTTCATACCATTTGTGCAAAGTTGTAGAGATGAATATAAGGAAATTACTTTAATGTAAAGCTAAATTTAATGAGATGTCAACTGTGATTTCTCTTAATGCAGTAGTCATTAATAGAACTGTTTAATACATGTACTCATTTACATGAAATTAACATTTGTTATACATGTATGTTACAGGTGTATTTTGTGGTTGTGATAAGCTAATGTGCCATAAGTTTGATCATCATATTTTGACCAATATTTTCACTATTTTACTTGCATGTCAATAAAGTCGGGAACACCTATAAGATTTTGTGCATTTTCAGCTCATATATGATCCAAATGGTAAAAAGCTTATGCCTGTGGTTATTTAAAACTTGAGATGAAATAATGTTTTTTAAAAAAAGAGGAAAGCCCCAAGCCCCCTCCCCCTTTTATGCCACGGATCGAAAGATCCCAGGGTATATTGTTTTTGTCCTGTCTGTCTGTTGTCAATTTTAACCTAGCCGATAACTATAGTGTATACCACTTCAGTCTACATCCCACTTTAGAATTGTGTTACCATAGGGGGCATAGTAGTTTTAACGAAATAATAGAGTTATCGCTCTTTGTTTTCCCAATTTTATGGTAAATCATAAAATTAATATTGAGATAAATATTATATTTCAAATATATTTTTTGAATAATGACTTGGTGGTAGGCTACAGAAAAATTCTTCATAAGCAGTACTTATACTGTACATGTAGTTCAATATTCATTTCTTATATTATGAGCTCTACTGTAAGTAATCAGTTATGCTTTCGGATAACTGTGACTTTAATGCATGAAGGATCAAAA